CCAAGCACTACTAAGTCAGTTCCATTGTTAAAAGGTAGGACTATAATTATGGATGAACTTGTTTAATTAATTCAGTTTCATTTCTTGTGTTAAACGTTACAAAAATAAACTAAACCAATTGTAATCTAAAATTAAATTTTAAGGGGATTTAACGGGACTAAAAAAATGATCTTTTAAACAAATGCCTTATTAGTTGGTCTGAACAATTTCTACATATAAATTGACCGACGGGTAAATATTTCTGCCGGTCAATTTCACGGTTAATCGGACAAAACTAGCAAGCATGACCATAATGAGAGGCCTGGACCTTGACAAAAGGTACCGAAGTTAGTAGGAGAGATTGCAAACAGGGAAAGCACAATAACAAAACATTTTTTTTATAAAAATTATTTACATGACTAAAAGGAACAACCTGCCCTTGATACATAACAAAAATATTAAATAATGGGTGATCAATTTTCAACAAACTTTGTCTGGGAATACAGGATGATAATCGTATCTGTGAACCTTTTAAATACTGGTTTACCACCGCTACTCATCCCTATAGACAGTATAGAATACATGCCCCTTAAAACAGAGGGTAGTTTATCATGGTAAGGGTGTAGTAATGGCAGCTTAACATGGTTACCTATGGCAACAGGTAACCATGTACTAACAGTTTCATGTCTGGTCTATTTATTTAACGTCCGCTTCCACAATAGTGATATTGCAGAGACATGGTAACTAAGTACTGGTGACAGCTTAATATGGTTACCAATAATAGCCAAGGGTTACTAATGATAACTGATTAACATCAGATCACTATGGTTATTTTAGAACTAATTTTAATAGTGGAAGCTCACTATGGTTACCCATTGTAACAAAGGGCTGATAATAATACGTAACTAATAATGGTAGTGGATTCAAGTCTCCAACAGTTAGGGTTGTGAAGTTGGATGGAAATTGATCTATATAGTCTGTTTTGAAATACGACCATGTCATATACCATGAAACAGACCCCAAGACAGAGCTGAGAAATCATAAAATTCACATTTTTTTTAAAACAATTATAAAATATCTAAAGCAGAAAACAAAACTTAACTTTTTCATATCCAACCTTTTCGAACACCCCTGATCAATAAGTCAAAGAATGTCGAAAAAATTAATGAATGGTGCTAGTGCAAAATAAATGTGCAAGGAAAAAAAAACATTAAAATAAATGGAAGATTTTGATTTTATGTAATCAAAGGAAAACATTTCATGAATTTGATAAAACCTATGTCTAAAACTTTCCTTAACGATGTCCGCGATTTTCTAACTTGCATCGATTTGGGTGTTCTTTTGTAAGATATGTATCTTAGAAATGTGAATCGTTATTGGCCCAACAAATATGCTCATCCTCGGTATCAGCAGTGGTCTCATTCAGTTCTTCTCCACAAAACCCTGGGTTTATCCATGGAGGAGACACATATTTAAATTACCTGCCGATATCTGGGGACACCGAGGATGAAGCATACCATGGTTCATGTCGGACGTACTTGAATTGGTAGAGCCTTAGGCCTTTTTGTATAGAGTTGCAGCCATGTTGGAATTGTGATGTCATATCAAAGAACAAGCACGGTTAAGCTTCATGTCAAGTGTACACAACTTGGTAGAGCCCTAGGCCTTTTTGTATAGAACAACAGTCATGTTGGAATTGTGATGTCATATCAATCAGGAGGCACGGTTAAACTTCGTGTAGAGTGTATTGTATACAAGCTGGTAGAGCCTTAAGCTTTTCTTGAAGAGTGTCGCGCCTCAACAACATCAAGATTACGAAGTGTATGGAACCTGTTTCTCGTTTAGAACTCTGGCTTGAAACCAACACATATAAATTTGGATGAAACAGATGTTAAATTAAAATGAGATGAAATGTGGTTTTGTGGCATGTCAGCACCAACAGAGCTATATTGCGCCAGAACATTTTTTTTTAAAGTTATTTTACTCAAACCCAACATCAAAATGTGCTACAAACATAATCATGAATTAACTAAAACTTCTTCAATTTATTCATTAAGTGATTTAATATTTATATTTAATTACTTCCATTTCCTTACAGGGCTACCATAACTTAAATATACATATTACTATATGCCAATGTCCACCAAGCTCAGCAGCAGCCGTATAAAATATCCATTATGCTTCAAGACTTTGAGGATTTCGTAGTCATAATTCTAAAAAATATAGCAAGCAGGCCTGGAAATCAAAGAAACAATGTTGTTCAAGCTTACATTTCTTTTTGACAGTGACAAATTACAATCATGGAATGGAATTGTATGTATATTAGACTGCAGATTTTATCAACAAAATTTCCTTTTGTTAAAAAAAGAAAAAGAAAAAAGATAGAAACAGCTACATGGTTATTAAATCTGACCTTCAAACCCAGAAAATATGTCTATCACATTGTTGTCTTTCACAAAAGACCCACATATAATTCATAACGCACTTGTCATTTGTAATAAATCAGAGAAAGATAGCAACTTAGATTCGTATCATTAAATGGTCTCATAGTTCAATAGACATTTTTAGCTATATTCTTTGAATGGCATTTAGTAATTGGAGCATAATCAAATATTTGTGTTATATGCTTGATAACACTTGTGAAATCTTGTTGAAAGGTCGCAGTGAAATAAACCATAGTAATTGTTATTCCAAAAATAGTGTGTTATTTGAGTATTTTTAGCTATACAAATTTATTAAAGATGGTTGGGGTTTTCACGATCATGTAACCAAGTACCATGACATCCCCTGGTTTCCATTTCTAATCAAATCCTTTCAACTTTTTGTTGTCTGGCTTGGTGAACATCAGCATTGGGTTCTAATTATTCAAGAATCAACAAATCACTAAAATTCTAATCAACAAATTAAAATAAACAAGGCAACAGTGAGGCTGATGTCCCCCACCGAAATCTCAAAATAATTAGATGACACATATTAATTAATAGCACATTTATTTTTTTCAAAAGTATCGAGCAATTAAACTATACACTAAGTTTCATCACTTTCTATCAAATAGAATCAAGATTATGAAACTGATAAGCTCTGCTTAGCTTCAGCTCAAAATGTTAATCATTGAAATCAGTCAAGACATTCACCTAATGAACATCTACATCAAGTTTAAACATTCTACCTCAATTAAAAGCAGAGTTGTTATGTTCCAAAGTCTTGACCAATGAAATTGCTTATCGCTCCTTAGTCTAAGCAGAAAATTCTCACCATCGAACTTCGTCAAGGCAGGGGACAATAACATTTACTGTGTTATTAACATTACCCTTTTGTAAAATCAATAATAGTAACACATAAAATACAACAGGATATGATATACATCTTTACCCTGTATCAAGGTAGATGTATAACACTTTCAAATGGTTGATATATAATTTATCTCCGCTATTATCAACAATACAGTCAATAGTTTTAATAATATCTCCCCTATTATCAATAATCAACACATACACCAAGTTTGAACATTCTAGCCCAATTAGGAAGAGAGTTATCGTGTCCCAAAGCATCAACCAATCAAATTTCTTATCTCTGCTTACCCTAAGCGGAAAATGCTCATCTTCGAACTCCATCAAGGCATTGACCTAATAAACACATACACCAAGTTTGAACATTCTAGCTCAATTAGGAAGAGAGTTATTGTGTCCCAAAAAGTGTGACGGACAGACAGACGGACAGAGAGACAGACAGACGGACGAACCCATTTTAATAGTCCCCTGCTTTCTTCGAAAGGCGGGGGACAATTAAATATTCTTAATTGACGAACGTATTAACATAACAAGAGTTGTCTACCTTGCTCAATAACAAAATACATATTTCCACTAAATCTAAATCTATTAGTAACCATGACACTTCACTAAGGCTAACAAAATGAGGCTCATCAATTCAATAATTCTGTACTATCGATTTAAGAATACCTTCATAATAACCTGTTATTTACAAGGAATTAAATGCTGCTAATGCTTTTGTTTTTGGTGCAGTATCTAATGACAAAATTAACAACAATGATCACTGCATTATAATGGATGTTACAAAAATGGTGATTTTTCACCCATGTAACACCATGTAACTAAGTAGGTCTATATTGTGTATACCTTAACATCCAGTTACTAAATAGGCAATGGAGACAATATCCAACTGGTATGATCAAGACTTTGCCAGAAAGTGAAGAAGGATATTAGCGATCCCACAGTCGATTTACATATTCATGATTACAGATTGATTGGCATCTGTTGGCCATATTTACAGTTAGGGCGGACATTGCCATATATAACGCCAATATCAAAGTCTTGGATAAAATCAATAAAATTAAAATACAGATCTATATTTTGTTTCGTTTTTTTATTTTTATTTTTGATGGTCTACACTACATCAAGATCTGACCGGTTGATGTGGACATTTGATTAACCAATCAGCGTTGATGTTTCTAGTGGGTTACCCACAGTTCCGTGTACCTCACGCCAAAATCTTGCCGCAACATTGGCTTGCTCCATCAAAATGAAACGATCTTCCAGTGTTCATCATAAGTGCTTTTCTATTTAGTGTTTTAAATCAATAATTAAATCATACCTATTTAAATATTATAATTAATTTAAAATTGTATGTATCGAGCACATAGAGTATACCTTAAGTGTGGAATTGGCGTTATACAAATGCTCATATTATTAAGCGTGAAGATTTCGCATAAGAACAAAACTAGTAGCTTTATGAGATAGATCTGGGAAGGCTACTAGCCACTATCAAGCCAGGAAATAAGGCACCTGCCACAGACAATGTCAGGCACAAAACCTCTGGTGCCTGTCATTTTGTCTGGCGCTGATTTGTCTTTTGTCTTGATATAATTAATACATGTCCGGCACTTAGTTGAAAATGTCAGGTACTATTTCATTAATGCCTGACATTTTGTCAGGTACATCTAAAACTGTTATTTCCAGGTTTGGAAATGTATTAATAATATCAATAAGAAAGACAAAACAGGCACCAGAGGTTTAGTGCCTGAAAAAGCCTGAATCTGTGCCTGACATTGTCTGCGACGGGTGCCTTATTTCCAGGCTTAGTTTCTTCATCGCCCAGACAGAAGAAACGCTTATCTCTACTTGTGGAATAGTAAAAAAAATATTTTTATTTAAAACAACAATTCAACATAATAATGAAAAGGCAGGTGGAATCTGTCCCTGAGATTCTCAAAATAACATAAAATAATCTCAGAATTGAGAGATAAGATATCTGGTTCGTTCGTCTTCCTCGTCAGAACTTTCTTCAAGTGGAAAAAGAATTTAAATTATTTGAGCAATTTTCTCTCATCAGATTTGGGATGATCTGTACTCAACGAGCAGATGTCAAAAGAGAACTCTTGATTTACTGACAACTACGGAGAGTTCAATTTAAATTATTTGGGCAATTTTCTCTCATCAGATTTGGGGTCATCGGTGTTTCCAACTCAACGAGCAGAAGTCAAAAGGTAAATCTTGATTTATTGACGACTTTGGAGAGTTCAATTGGCTTTGGAATGAATTATTTCCCTTTATCACAGCTCAATTTAATCTTGCAGGTAAACAGTCCAACAAGTTTATTAAATGTCAATAGCATATATAATCTTTACCTCTTGACAATTTTGAATTAACTACACTACTTGAATTACCGAAATAAGTTATAGATTAAAATATAAGGTTGCTAATGATCTTAAGTTTAAGGATTTTTTTTTTCCCAATAACATTTCTTCTATATCTCTTGTTGTTGTTAGTTAGTTGTATTTTACGTCCACTTCCATTTCATTTCAATTACCGCAGCATTGTATCTACATATTATAAGCATGTACATATTGTATATTAGTTAATAATACATGTTATATCTATGTATTCAAATTTTCTGGTTTATGAACTCGCATTAAATCTGTATTTAATCTTTTTAACTGATTTTGTATTTTTTTCCCCTCTATTTTAAATTATTGAGGGTTGTTATTTAATTTATCAAACTATCTCTTTTGTATTATATTTTCCATGATAGGCAGGATTTTAGAAAGACTATCATTGCCTAATCTTCAAAACTTCTTAAATAAAATCATTGTTATTATTATTACTATAGCAACCATAGCAAGGTATTTTAATGTGTAGATAACTATTCTCAGTTCGAAATAGTCAACGATGAGATACAAGGTCGAATCATCAATACTTGTAACTTGTTGAAAAGACGACCAATTAAATTGTGTGAAAGAAAGGTCCGTTATGTTTGGAAATTTATGTTCAAAAGTTTCAACAATTATGTGCTACGGAGCTGAATCACGGAGAGCAGTAAATTGTTGAAGAGTAGATCTATTATATGATTGGCTAAAAGACTTGTTTAAGGCCTGTTCAATATTTCAATATGGCGGCCTGTTAAAAGTTTGGAAACAAGATTTGTTGGAGGCCTGTTAAATGTTTACACGAAAGAAAGTTCTTCTGAGAAAAGACAAACAAACAAGATAATAAAAATTATTGCAACATAATTACTTGTGAAACATATCAAACAACGAAATAAATCTTCACAAATTATTTACGGTCATGTTCGTATTTCATAAATTTCACTCAAGAACACTCTCTACTTCTTGTTGCCGATGACAATATGTTCATTTCCATTAATGAATTTTCCTCTTTCAATTCATCTCGAGACTTTAAATCAATGGAAAATACAGGTGTTGAACAGGTGTTGATATTGATTGCGAGACTTTATATCAATGGAAAATACAGGTGTTGAACGGGTATTGATATTGATCACAAGACTTTAAAAGAATGAAAAATACTGTTATTGATATGCCACCATAAAGTGAAATGTATACGTTGATTTATCTGAACTACGTTTCTGACAAACCTTAGCCATTTTAAAGGCACCCAGTTTCTTCATATTGTGTAGCACATGGAATTAAATGTACTTTTGACCACAACCCTTTATTGAAATAGTCAGTTAATACTCATCTTCATCAGCCAAGGGTTACGATTCGCTTCACACATGGTTAGTGAAGATGGTTAATACTTTGTTTATGGTTTGGCATATTTTTTGATTTAAGAAACAAATGAATTTTTTTAACTGAACAGCACATACTCTTTTTAACTGTTGTCCACAATGAATTAAAATATACTTCTGAACAATAGAAACCGTTCGTTCATAATCTGACATCTTCTTTTATATTTGCTGTTTACAAAGAATTTGTAAAATGTACTTCAGACAAAACACTTTTTCTTCTGCATAGCACAATGAAAACATTAGAACTACAACTTGGTTTGTTTAATTAATACTTTCTGTCTGGTATGTTTCTTCTCTAAGAAACAATGGAGGATAGGAATAACATACATATTATTTCTATGTATTCAACGTCTAGTTTCTCCATATTTTAACTCACCCATCGTGATATCAATTCAAACATTTGACCCAATACATATTATTTCTATGTATTCAACGTCTAGTTTCTCCATATTTTAACTCACCCATCGTGATATCAAAACGTCTAGTTTCTCCACATTTTAACTCACCCAACGTGATATCAATTCAAACATTTGACTCAATATGTTGTTTAATTGTTTTGTCAATAACCTCATTAGCACCAGGAAGATATATACTGCGTAGTAATACGTAATTCTGCCATCTCCTTCGAGAATTTCGTGATTTTATATCGGGTTTCTTTCGGTGTTTACAAGAAGAACAAACGATCAGATAACGCTTCAGAAACTTCTTTATGGATACTCTGTCCAACCAGGTAGGCCAACTTGTGAGCATACTGGAAATATATACAACAAAAAAAATTACAGTCTGTCCACCGCGTAATCCACGCAAATCAATTATTTAACACTAAACACAAAGTAAGAAATCAATATTAAAATATGAACAGCAGAAAATCTCCTGGTTAAAAGGAGGCCCATCAATAGATTTTATTGAAGATTGCAGAAGGCACTGGCTTTTTATATTCCATTTATATCATCTGCAAAGGATTCTGAATGCTGACAAATTTTTGAATTCATCAACTCTTGTAAAATGGAAATTATTAAACTGTTTATGCGATGGGAGGACACCGATGGGTCCAGAGCTGAGCACACGACACTGACCCTTGTCATATATAACTGTGGGCTAGAAACATGGCCACATTACTCAATGACAAACATTAAGATTTGCATGTATAGCCCACGCGACAACTAGTCGACAGCATGAACAAGCCAATAGTGAGGCTGATGTCCCCCGCCGAAATCCCCAAATAAATAGATGACACATATTAATTAATCGCACATCTATTTTTTTCAATAGCATCAAGCAATCAAACTGATTATCAACTATACACTAAGTTTCATCACTCTCTATCAGATAGAATCAAAGTTATCTGGTCCCAAAGCATCGACCAAGGAAATTGCTTATCTCTGCTTAGCTTTAGCTCGATATGTTAATCATTGAATTCGGTCAAGACGAACATCAACATCCAGTTAGAAGCAGAGTTGTTTTGTTCCAAAGTCTTGACCAATCAAAATGCTTATTGCTCCTTAGCCTAAGCAGACAATTCTCATCATCGAACTTAGGCAAGGTATTGATGTAATGAAACTATACACCAAGTTTCATCACTCTCACTTAATTAGAACTAAAGTTATCATGTCCCAAAGCATCAACCAATCAAATTGCTTATCTCTACTTACCATAAGCAGAAAATGCTCATCTTCGCACTCTATCAAGGCATTGACCTCATAAACACCTACACCAAGTTTGAACATTCTAGCTCAATTAGAAGGAGAGTTATTGTGTTCCAAAGTCTCGGCCAATCAAATTGCTTATCGTTCTGCTTGCCCTCAGCAGAAAATGCTCAATATCGAACTTAGTCAAGGTATTGATGTAATGAAACTATACACTAAGTTTCATCACTTTCACTTAATTGGAACTAAAGTTATCATGTCCCAAAGCATAAACCAATCAAATTGCTTATCTCCACTTACCCTAAGCAGAAAATGCTCATCTTCATACTCCATCAAGGCATTGACCTAGTAAACACCTACGCCAAGTTTGAACATTTTACCTCAATTAGAAGGAGAGTTATTGTGTTCCAAAGTCTTGGCCAATCAAATTGCTTATCGCTCTGCTTACCCTGAGCAGAAAATGCTCATTATCGAACTTAGTCAAGGTATTGATGTAATGAAACTATACACCAAGTTTCATCACTCTCACTTAATTAGAACTAAAGTTATCGTGTCCCAAAGCATCAACCAATCAAATCGCTTATCTCTGCTTACCCTAAGCAGAAAATGCTCATTTTCGAACTCCATCAAGGCATTGACCTAATAAACACCTACACCAAGTTTGAACATTCTAGGTCAATTAGAAGGAGAGTTATTGTGTCCCAAAAAGTGTGACGGACAGACAGACGGACGGACAGACAGACGAACCCATTTTAATAGTCCCCTGCTTTCTTCGAAAGGCGGGGGACAAACACATTAAAACAAGGCATTGACCTAATCAACACATACACCAAGTTTGAACATTCTAGCTCAATTAGGAAGAGAGTTATCGTGCCCCAAAGTATCAACCAATCAAATTGCTTATCTCTGCTTACCCTAAGCGGAAAATGCTCATCTTCGAACTCCATCAAGGCATTGACCTAATAAACACATACACCAAGTTTGAACATTCTAGCTCAATTAAAAGTTATCGTGTCCCAAAGCATCAACCAATCAAATTGCTTATCTCTGCTTACCCTAAGCGGAAAATGCTCATCTTCGAACTCCATCAAGGCATTGACCTAATCAACACATACACCAAGTTTGAACATTCTAGCCCAATTAGGAAGAGAGTTATCGTGTCCCAAAGCATCAACCAATCAAATTGCTTATCTCTGCTTACCCTAAGCGGAAAATGCTCATCTTCGAACTCCATCAAGGCATTGACCTAATAAACACATACACCAAGTTTGAACATTCTAGCTCAATTAGGAAGAGAGTTATTGTGTCCCAAAAAGTGTGACGGACAGACAGACGGACAGACAGACAGACGGACGAACCCATTTTAATAGTCCCCTGCTTTCTTCGAAAGGCGGGGGACAAAAAATTAGAATTGAATAAGTAGTGCTCAAATCAAATGGGATCAACGTCCAACTTTTCTGCTCCTACTGAGCTAATGAAGACGTACATATGCCATACAGTGTGCTATGAACTACATTTTTCCTGTACAGCGGCACTACAGCCTACTCATACGTCGAATTCCAACATGCCAATATGTACACACGACCTTGGTTATTCATCCCATCCAAACGCCTATACATTGTCCCTGACCAGGCCCTTTGTCCTACACCACTGACATGGGGAGCACACACCAGAAAATCCCAATTTACTTTCTCGACCAATGCAGGGATGGAAGACGGGACCACCGGGTTAGTGAGCTCATGACTCCAACAAGTTGTACTGACTGAAGATTATGATTGTACATTACCTGACAAGGGGCAGGAACTCTGACTGTACCAGGCCAGTTATAATAAAGATGAGTCATCTTATAGGTTAATCTCTGCATCCTATCTACCGTTAATCCTGTTACATCATGTACTACTATATAATGTGTTGGACTTACTGTACCCTGTCGTACATGCTGACTTACCAGGAAGAAATCATACCTTAAAAAAAACATATAATATAAACTACACTTGATCAAATGAATTGGTGCTTAACATCCTATTTTTCTACTCCACTCGGATAGAAATGAAATGAAATGGGGTTTAACGTCCTACTGTTTTGCTCCGAACTGGGCTAATGAAGACGGGCATATGCCATACAGTGTGCTATGAGGGAAATTTTGCCCGGACAGCGGCACTACGGCCTACTCTTATATCGAATTCCAACTGTCAAGGGATCTTTTACGTGCACGCCAATGTGTACACGGGACCTCGGTTTTTCGTCTCATCCGAATGACTAGACAGCTGTCCTTGTCAGGCCCTCCGTCCCGCATCCCTGACAAGGGGGAACCACGCCGGAAAATCGGGATGAACTTTCTCGGCCAATGCAGGGATCGAACACCAGACCTCCAGGCTAGCGAGCCAGCGCCTTACCCACTAAGCCACCGTGATCCCCCACTCGGATAGAAAAAACAGAAATGGGGTTTAAAGTCCTGCTGTTCTCCACCAACTGGGCTAATTAAGACGGGCCTAAGCCATACAGTGTGCTATGAGGGAAATTTTGCACCAGCAGCGGCACTACGACCTACTCTATGTCTAAATCCAACTGCCAAGGGATCTTTTACGTGCATGCCAAATGAATACATGGGACCTTTGTTTTTTTGTCGTCACAACCAAATGACTAGACAGCTGTCCTTGTCAGGCCCTCCGTCCTGCACTACTGACAAGGGGAAAACACAACGGGCCTAAGCCATACAGTGTGCTATGAGGGAAATTTTGCACCAGCAGCGGCACTACGACCTACTCTTTATGTCTAAATCCAACTGCCAAGGGATCTTTTACGTGCATGCCAAATGGATACATGGGACCTTGTTTTTTTGTCGTCACAACCAAATGACTAGACAGCTGTCCTTGTCAGGCCCTCCGTCCTGCACTACTGACAAGGGGAAACCACAACGGAAAATCTTGATTAACTTTCTCGATCAATGCAAGAATCGAACATGCGACCTCCTGGCTAGCAAGCCAGCATCTTACCCACCGTGGCTCCCTTTAGTAAACAACAAAAGTACTTTAAATTAAAGAGAATGGACCTTGGGGACAGGCCATAAACATCCTCTGTATTCTACTACCTGTATAGGAACTTACCAATCTCTTCTGGTGATATCATGATCTATAACTGATCCAGGTGGAGGATTATCCATTGAATTACCTCTCTATAATATATAAATTTAATATAATACAGGATGACACTTTCAATATAATATATAGCCAGTATTTCAATATAAGACAGTTTCCTGTATAAGGTGACTAACAGAGTAGCCCTTCTGTATAAATGAAATGAAATGGGGTTTAACGTCCTACTGTTCTGCTCCTAACCTGGGCTAATGAAGACGGGCATACGCCATACAGTGTGCTATGAGGGAAATTTTGCTTGGACAGCGGCACTACGGCCTACTCTTATATCGAATTCCAACTGCCAAGGGATCTTTTACGTGCACGCCAATGTGTACCGAACGACTAGAGAGCTTTCCTTGTCAGGCCCTCTGTCCTGCATCACTGACAAGGGAAAACCACGCCGGAAAATCTGGATGATCTTTCTCGGCCAATGCAGGGATCGAACACGCGACCTCCAGGTTAGCGAGCCAGCGTCTTACCTACTTAGCCACGTGATCCCCCCTTCTGTATACTTAGTATCAGGTAGGTGTAGCCAATCACTATATATCATACATAAGAAACTTCATACAAGAAATTTAAATTTTATACTGTTTTCTGATAGCCTGAGTAGGTCATTTCAGGACTAACATATGGTTCCATTTTCTATTTCAATAATTTGCTGGTGCTTAGGGGACTTTAGCAGGGGTACGAAATAGGAGGACCCAGAGGAACTGGGGAATCGAAACCACACCAGTTGACTTAATGACAGATATTATGATACACCGCACACATGCTAGCCATTCGGTCACCCAGCCTCCCTTAGAACAGAAGATGTGGGAAATAATACGGTTAATATAAAAACTTACATTTACAAATATTCTCGTGTTGATTCTCTTCTGTACAATAACTACAGCCATCTTAGGTTCGTAATTATTGAAGTGAGCGAAGCATGTGTAGAGCTGTTTAACTTCGTAATCTGCCACGGCGCGGAGCTGTCCATCCCCAACACCGTCTCGAAACACAATAATTTTATCAGGTAAACTATGATTTATCTACAAAATGAAATCAGGTTTATTAATATCCTACTGTTCTTTACCGGAGAACCCGGAGAAAACCCACGAGGTTGGACAGGCGACCCTACTCCTTGTTACATACAACCGAAGATTTGAAACCACGCCGGTATATTCAATGACAGACTTTATGATGCAGAGCGCATGCGCTAACTATTCGGCCATTCAAAACCGGGGAGTCAAAATCACACAAGTTGACTCAATGATGGGCCTTATGATGCAGCACACACGTGCTTACCATTCGACCCCCGGGTGCTATGAGGGAGATTTTGCCTTAGTAGCGGCGCTACTGTCTGCCATTATTTCAATCGAAAGAGAACAAATATTCCTGTATTTGATTACGTCAATAATATCTCAACCAATGACAACAGCCAAAACAAGTATACCAATTTTTTTAATATGGCGGTCATTTAAAGGCTCAATACCACTCTTGTTGTAACTCAATAATATGTCCCAATCTTTATTCTGGTCAACAAATTGTACTATTTTACAATATTCCAATTAATTGATGATACAAATTTCATCTCAACACACCTAATTTATAAAATTGGAAAAATTCAACTAAATGATTTGAAAAGCCTAATGTAAACCTTTTCAAATGTGACTTGGATTTAAAAATATTTTCGAACCCTCTGGACAAGTAAAATTGGATGTAATGAATAATTTACACAACAGGTAGGACATTTAAACATCTAATACTTAGAATAAGGCTATTATTTATTTTCTGGAGCTGTCAAGCCAGCAAGAGTGTTATTGTCCCTTTAAGACAGAGATCTATTCTCAAAGGATAAAATAGATGAATATTTGTGTGCAGAATGTGTACAACTGTGACATCATCATAAGCTTACCTCGTGATAATGGTAATGTAATTAATTACATTGGCAATGTAATGGCCCCAGCCCTGACATAAGCTTACCTCGTGATATTTACGTAAGGCACTAATAAGACAAGTCTTTAAACCATCTATAAGTTCTTGATGGGGGCCCTGGAAGTAACAGCGGCTGTAATATCTGGTACACGATTTGTTCATACTGGCCACAAACCCTGCGATGGATCTCTTTCCCTTAGAGGCATCATGGTAAACATCTATACCAACTATCATTAAACTTTTCTACAATAAAAAAAAATATATCAGATTTATACATCTATTTCTGTAATGAGGTTGGACAGGTGACCCTACTCATTGTCACGTACAACCACGCCAGTTGACTCGACGACAGACCTTATGATATAGCACTAACCATTCAGCTATCCACCCCACCCCACCCCACCCCACAGACTTCACTCAAAATGTAATGAAATGGGGTTTAATGTCCTACTGTTCTGCTCCGACTGTGTTAATGAATACAAGCAGACACCATACAGTATGCTATAAGGCAAATATTTCTCTGCCAGCAGCACTACAGCCTAATCATATATCGAAATCCAACTACCAAGCGATTTTTTTCCGCATATGCCACGGGACCTCGGTTTTCCGTCCTATATTAACGACAAAACATAGTATCTTGCAAGCCCTCCGTCCTGCACCACTGACAAGGACGAATTTCCACGACCAAAAGAGAGAGAGAAATGGGGTTTAACGTCCACTCCACACAAACTAGGTCATTTCGGGACCAACACATGGTTTAGTTTTATTTCAATAATTCGTTTGCGCTTGCGTGTAGGGATCTTTAGCAGTGGGAGGAAACCAGAAAAAACCCACGAAGTTGGACAGGCGACCCTACTCCTTGTCATGTACAACCGGGGTTCGAAACCACGCCAGTTGACTCAATGACAGACTTTATCATACAGTGCGCACGTGCTAACCATTCAGCCATCCATCCCCCCTCCTTGTCATGTACAACCGGGGATTTGAAACCACGCCAGTTGACTCAATGACAGACTTTATGATAACAGCACGTACGTGCTAACCATTCAGCCATCCAACCTCCCTTTTCATGACCAACACAGGGATCTAACACAGGACTTCCCAGTTAGCGAGCTAATGTGTTACTGTCACTTACCATAGGTATTTCAACACCCCACAATTCACCTCCTAGTTTACAGTTGATCTGTAGAGCAATCTTCACCGTTACACTGCGTAACTTCTGGGGCTGAGAGATCGTCTTGCCAATAATTACCTTATAAAATAAACAATAAATTTATCATTCAGAATACAGCGCAAATCTTTGATTCAACTTTTCCAATGTACAAAATAATTTAACCCTTCATTAGGATGATAAAGCGAGAAAGAATATAGCACAAATCTTATTTTAAAGTTACAATTTCATATTTTCTAAAAAAAGTCAAAACATAATTATTTCTATGTCTTTTGTTCAATAGGTTGTCAACTCACTATTATTCGATCATAGGTGTCATTCTCACACTTAAAACTCATTTACACCGGAAATAATAACACAATTACCTCCCCTGTTTTCTATTCTCCACCATGGAGTAGTTATCTTCAAACGTTTGAATTTGAAGTTGAAAATGATATTTTTGCCAATTTCTCAACTGGCAATAGTGAATTATAGGATTAATAGGATTATTCTTTAACAAGGTAGGACTGTTTATAGATACCATCTATTTTAAGGCTTTATTTTAATCAATTTTAAAAATGTAACTTAAAAATATGAAATTGCAACTTTAATAGGAAGTTAGTGAGTCCAGTCATTTGGATCTAATCCCCGGAGAACCCAATGAAGGGATTGGATATCATAGAAAGAGAAGTTACCTGCAAAGGTTTTATTCGTTCTGGATAGTTATCGTCCTGAGAAGGGACTGGTTGTTCTAGATATTCACCGTCCTGAAAAAGGACTGGTTGTTCTAGAAAGAGAAAGTTACATACCTGAGAAGGAACTGGTTGTTCTACACAGCAGAGTTTTTTAATAGCTGAATATCGATCATCTCTACTCGTAGGGCAAATAATTACAACCATCTGAGTCTAAAATATAACATAAATTATCATAACCACCATCTGAATCGAAAATAAATCAATAATTATTTTAACTAATTGAATCTCAAATCAATCATAAATTACTGTAACAACCATTTGAGTCTCGTATTAATCATAAATTATAATAACTTCTATTTGACTAATTTTAGTCTAAGATATAACACAAATGAAATTTTATTCAATAAATCCATCAAGAGAAAAATTATGACTAATAGGGAACGAACTGATTTCAGTGAATTTTGTATCGTCAAAGAATTGATTTGGGACTTTAGACCTATTTTGCTGTCAGGGGTCACAAAGTGATGTTAATAGGTGTCAACGATAATATTCTAAGATTAATTTCTTATTTTATTATGTCGAAAATCAGGCTTACCTGTGGTGTAATCACTTCCCTCAAAGTCCGTACAAACGTCTCCGTTTTATCATCATTTAATTTACACTTCTGTGGTGGTTGGATTCGGATTCCCATCTTCGGACATACTTGAGACATGCATTCTATGAATCCAACAGCCTTGGTTACGTCCCTATCTGTTGTCATGACAACCCAGTTCTTGAGATCAACAGCCACAAGTACCTTATTATCCGTACAAGATCGACCCCAGTCTGCGTCTCGGACGCCTTGAGCTGGGCCATGTTTAAAGATAATGTTTTCAGGATTCAGGACACGCCCATCCATCTGAAATATTCAAGACAAAATAAAATACATTGTATTCTCTGGAGAGAGAGAGAGAGAGAGAGAGAGAGATGGGGTTTAACATCCACTCCACACAACACAATTTAGGTCATTTCTGGACTTACATATGGTTCAATTGTATTTCAATAATTCGCTTGCGCATAGGGGTCTTTAGCAGTGGGAGGAAACCGGAGGACCCGGAGAAAACCCACGAGGTTGGAGAGAGAGAGAGAGGGAGAGAGTTTAACGTCCACTCCACACAAACTAGGTCATTTCTGGACTAACATTGGTTTAATTTTTTTTCACTTATTCGCTTGCGCAGAGGGGTCTTTAGCAGTGGGAGGAAACCGAAGGACCCGGAGAAAACCCACGAGGATGGACAGATGACCCTACTTCTTTGTATTCTGGAGGAGTGAGCTTGATGACTTTCAACAAACATAAATTTTTTTTGGGTAGACGTTCCTTTGCTTTTGCGGCAGCAGAACTGAGAAATTCCAACGACTTTCCTATAGAACTGAAGCGCTGTGCATCAATTGACAGTTTTAAAAGGAATGTTAAATCCCATCTTTTTAGAACTGTTGATCACATACTCGTTTTAACTATTGTTTTTCTTATTAACTGACCATAATGTTACCAAAGAGCAGCTTCGGTTGGATTTTAGGACATTATTATTATTTCAAGGTTTACATATTTGCTAAATCATGTGTTACATATCTAAATTTTACTTCTGTTACTGTACACCAATATTTTTATTTACAAACAGAAACTGTCACGGTCTACGAACATAGGCACAGATATTAACATCCACTCGACACAACCTTGATCATTTCAGGATCAGGTTGTAAGGATCCAATAATGAAAATGAAATATGCCATACAGTGCGCTATGAGGGAAATTTTGCGCTGGCAGCTACACTATGGCCTACTCTTATATCAAATTCCAACTGTCTAGAGATATTTTAAGTGCATGTCAATTTTGTGTGCAAGTCAATGTGTATACTGTGCCTGGGTTTTGTGTCCCAAAACGACTATTCATTGTCCCTTGCAGGCCCTCGGTCCTGCACCACTGACAAGGGGAAACCACATGGGAAATCCTGATGAACTTTCTCGGCCATTGCTGGGATCAGCAAAAGACAGACCTTGTGATCTTAAGACAAATGCATGTTAGACCTCTCGCCCCATGAAACTGGAACTAGTCCATATTATTCACTTACATCGATGGTGTTTGTGTCGAGTTCCAGTCCCCAGTTGACAAACTGAGCGTTGGCATCCTTATTAGTTCTAACAGCATCCAGGAATTTCTTCATAGCCATCTGTCTCTGAGCTGGTGTTACACGTGTATGGGATGCAATATCCTATAAATAAAAACACAAAAAATACAAATGGGGTGTTTGCTTGTCAACCTCCATTAATACCTTACACAAGCAGCATTCAATCTGATAAAAATATAGATCTGTATTTCGTTTGTTTTTTTATACTTTCTATGGTCTACACTACATAAAGATCTGACCGGTTGTAGCGATAGCTCGCGTCAGAGGTCATACGAGCGGCTTTTGACCCTATGACATCAGACATTTCATTAACCAATCAGCATTGATGTTACTAGTGGATAACCCAAAGTTCCGTGCAAAACACGCCTAAAGCTCAACGTAACAGACCATTTCATTGGCTAATCCCTCACATTATTCAGAAAACGTCAATGATAACAATTCTTCCAGATCCTAGTGTAGTAAAGACAAGTAAAACGAAATTTTGAACTATAAAAACGAAACGAAATAGGATCTGTGTTTCAACCAGATTGCAGCAGCATTATTATCTGTGCTATCAATGATAAACATTAATCTTGTTAAAATTTATTTTAAACTTGACTGGTTTGCACATTGTTGAAACTTCATAAATAATCGTATTGAATGTACTGTCGATTCTAATTAAAAATAAAATACGAAACAATATTAAATCAAATTGCTCATCTGTTCAGCCTAAGCAGACATTCATCCCAAATATCCACAAGTTTGAACATTCCAGATCAATTAGAAGCAGTTTTTATAGTAATCTTTTTGTCTCTAATATAGATAAAGGAAAATGCTAATGATTTAACTCTGTCAAGATATTACCTAATGAACATCTACACCATGTTTGAACATTATACCTAAATTAGAAGAGTTATTATGTTTCAAAAGGTGTGAAGGATAGAGAGACAGAACACATTTTACAAGTCTCTTACCATCTCCGAAAAGCGAGGGAGTGAAATGAAAATTTAACGTCCACTCAACACAAACTAGGTCATTTCAACACATGGTTCAATTTTATTTCGATAATTCGCTTGCGCAAAGGGGTCTTTAGCAGTGGGAGGAAACCAGAGGACCCGGAGAAAACAGGGCTTGCCACGAGCAAATTGGAGGTGAGTAGATGACTACACACGCAAATATAGACTTGCGCGAGTGAGGCGAGTACATGTATTTACTCACGCAGAATGATGTGCGTGAGTAGCCATTTAAATTCCATGTGCCTAATGGCAATGCTCTTGTCACTTCGGTGGAAGCGGACGTTGAATAAAGCTATTTCACACACAAAGGCAATGCATACTCTTTTATTTCCTTGGCAGTAATATTATCTGTAAATCGTCTTCCCATGACAATAACGTTGCAAGGGAAACTGGGTTTCCCTTTGCCATCGTTGGCGTGCTGAGGGGATTCGGGTAAAGCTTAGAAAGGTAAAAGAACAGGCAAAACAATCAATCCCATCAATTTGTAGAAAAGATGCGGGATCGAAAGAATTGCTATTAATAGAAACGACAACATCCGCTCAATGTTTGATTATCCAGACACGGCAAAGGACATCCGCTTAAAAACCGCCTGGCAGTACGCGTCTCAAAGTATTTTTAGTAACAGTTGGAACTGGAAAGACACGCCGCGTGCGCAATAGTGCATCAATATGAAGGCATACAAATTGTTTACGGCTTTTTATATTACGATATTCAATTATTTCTGATTAAATTATTTTTTATATTTGCGCGAGTACTTAATCACTCACGTAAATTTGGACAGGGGACCCTACTCCTTGTCACGAAAAGCAAGGTATATAATATAATTAAGATGACTGGGAGCTTGTTTAATTTTGACGTACCTTCATTAATCTGTAATCCGTTCTCATGGCATCTGATAATCCGGTCATATAACACAATTCAGGTACCAGACAAATAAACTCTTGTTTAGGTTCAGCTTCCTACAAAATTACAATAACATTATTTTAAACGAAATATTTTTACGACTAATCCAATACATCTGCCAAGGGGACAGAGAGACTGATGGTGTTTAACATCCACTCGACACAAACTAGGTCATTTCGGGACTAACTCATGGTTCAATTTTATTTCAATAATTCATTTCAGTGTAGGGGTCTTGAGCAGTGGGATGACCCAGAGAAAACCCACGCGGTTGGACAGGTGACCGTACTATCTGTCACGTACAACCAGGGAATCGAAACCATGCCTGTTGACTTAATGACAGACTTTATGATACAACTCGCATGTACTAACCATTCGGCCACCCAACCCCCTCCATCTGTCAAGGAATATTTTTGGGGCAGTACAGACTTGTAATTGTAACCTTGTTTTCTGGGGGGTTCTATGAACGAATAGAAGATTTCATTCAAGTCCTGAAAGAAAAGTGGGCTTGATAAATCTCAAATGATATTTTCAGTGCATGCTAGGATATTCCAATTTGGTGACTCAAAAAACATGGCCTATGATTGTCATTTGAAGGGATTCTAAATTCTTTGTAAACCACAATGTTGTGAAGTTGAATCAGAAAGGATTATCATTCCAAAAAGGGGTCTTTAGCAGTGGGAGGAAATCGGAGGACCCGGAGAAAACCCACGAGGCTGGACATACGACCTTACTCCTAGTCATGTATAACTCAATGAAAGACCTTATGATGCAGCACTAACCACAATGGTATTTTGATTTTGTTTTCCTTATTTAATTTTAAACAATGAATCTGGGTACATATCAGCCCTTAACCGGTCGACGTCATGACGTTAAGTGGTCAGACTAAAGAAAGGCTAAAGTGAAATATTTTGTATGCCTATTTCGATCGACTACTGCCGGATAATTATAAGTGATAGACTCTTGACACCAATAAAAAAGTTGAAGGGAATAAGTTGATCTATAATGTGCAAATCATTCTAAATCATTTTCATCAGAAATATCGTCTTCAGAATCGGTGTCATTGATATAATCCGAGTCAGAATCATTCATACGCACTTCAACCACTTTGGGAGTCTTTAACCTTCCCGACAAAGACGTGTTTTTCTCAATGCCATTGACAAGACAAGTTCCTGTCTGACACGCATGCGTGGTCATATCAATTAAATACGAAACTAAATACTCAAATGCTGCTTATAAAAAATGTTCTTGCTGTGGTCGACTTTAGTCGATTGTGACCACTTAGCTGTATAAGGTTGTGGTGATTATAGTCGACAGTGATCGGTTAAGGGTTAACATGCATTAAGCCGTAAAACATGTGATATTCAGCAAACAATGCAATTTTTGAATATTTTTAACCATGTATCTTACCCCTGCCATACGTTTGACTTTAGGTCTGTGTAATAACATAGGTTGATCTATATCCACTATATTCAAGTTGTAATTGGTCCTGTAAAATACGATATATACATATCAATCATAAATATCTAACAATAACAACTGGGTTGAGCGGTGGCTCAGTGAGTAAGACAGTGGCTCAGAGAGTAAGGCCGTGGCTCAGTAAGATAGTGGCTCAGTGGGTTAAGCGGTGATTCAGTGGGTTAAGCGGTGACTCAATGAGTAAGGTTGTGGCTCAGTGAGTAAGACAGTGGCTCAGAAAGGTCGTGACTCAATGAGTAAGACGGTGACTCAGTGGGTAAGACTGTGACTCAGCGAGTACAATGTTGGCTCGCTAACCTGGGCAACCTTCAGATGTAGACTATGGTCGCGACTACAGTCTGAACCAGCACCCAAACGCAAATGGCCCTAGCCATTGACTATTCAATATGGTGGCGAACATGTCAGTTGTTCCGCCTGCTATATTTTATCATGTATTTTTAAAAACTGATTAATTTTCCATACTGTGATGTGAAAGCAAGCTTAAAATAGGTTACAAATAGGATTAGTCAATATCAGAATATTTTTCATTGGATTTATGTCACCCAACCAAGATCATTTCACACGTACAGTTTTTTGTCGTGTGCCTAATATATTCAAATAAGAAGACCCTAATCTGTCAAATTCATCCAAAAAAGATGAAAAAAAATCAAATTTAATATCTTACTACAATGCCATTTCACTAACTTTCAGGTGTTAACATGGGCCCTACCGACCAAGGTTTAAATAATGCAACGGCAATCGGCAATTTTATTATATTTTTCAGAAAATCTTCTCAAGTGTCAGTTTTGTCAGCCATCTTTGAACTATTCCGACCGTGATTTATCGCATGGTACGGCTGGTCACGACCACCGGTTGAACTAAATGCCATTCGCATGCAGATGGTTCGACTATAGTACGAAAATCCGTGCAACCAAAGGTCGCCCTGGAGATCACATGTTTGATCCTGGTGTGGCCAAGAAAGTTCGTGATTTTCCGGAGTGGTTTCCCCCTTGTTGGTGGTGTAGGCAGAAGGCCTGGCAAGGAACAACGTATAGTTGTCCGAATGGGACAAAAAACAAAATCCCGTGTACACATTGGCATGCACGTCAAATAACCCTTGACAGTTTGAACTTGAAATAAGAGTAGGTCATAGTGCCGCTGCCCGGGAAAAAGACCCAATTGGGCCGGTTCATTTGAAAATGGATAAAGAACCCCATTTGATTAGTTAACTTAAATACATTGTACGGGTGAAAAAATTCATGGGAGGTAACTCCATCCGGCTTATTGATTCAGTATGGTCCTTAACAGGTAATGACCGTGGGGTTTGAGAGAGAGAGAAAAAAATGGGGTTTAACGACCACTCGACACAAGCTAGTTCATTTCAATAATTCACTTGCGCGTAGGGATCTTCCACAGTGGGAGTAAACCGGAGGACCCAGAGAATACCCACACGGTTAGACAGGCGACCCTACTCCTTGTCACGTACAACCAGATAATTGAAACCACGTAAATTGACTCAATGACAGACCTTCTGATACAACGCGCACGCGCTAACCATTTGGACATCCATCCAACCCCCACCCTGTGGGGTTTGAGTGGAATAATGGTTGACCATCCACATGTGGTGTAATAAAAGTTCAGTGATTTGTTACAACTGACCTGTAATAGTCGATGAAAGTTATTTCTTGTCCCGTTCTACTGGTCGGGAATGTCTTCTGAGGTGACATATCCCACATAATATCATCAATTTTATACGTCTTGTTGTTGTATCTAGTCAAGACTATGTTACCCAGTACTAATTTTGTTATTTCATCTTTGAAGCCTCTCTGGTTGTTTCTCACAATGGCTTGCCTAAAAACAAAATAAAATTAAAATTTTACAGGAGAAAAAATGGGGCCTAACTTTTGAACGGCACACTAAAAAAATGCAAAAAAAACACATGGTACCGATTGAGAAGCCACTGGTGACTACTGGTACGTTCATAGCTGTGTTTTTCTTTATTTAGTTTGGAGTTATTCTATGACTAATCTTTGTCTACGGTTGTATGCCGTCTGACTTACCATGTTTTTATTTTGCTTTGCAAAACTCAAATATTTTTCATATATTTAGCCAGGTATGCTGCTATTTTTTCATGTGTTCCATTGGCAAAAAAAAAGGTTGAGAACCACTGCTCTACTCCTTGAAATGGGGTTTACGGTAAAACAATCACGTAAAACGGCCCACCTACAAGCAACTCAACAGACTTTGTAGGTCCAATCAGCATAAAATAATGAGTCGTCCAATATTACTTACATAACATCGAGGACAGTTTCCGTTCTTAAAACACGATGAGAGGCGTCCAATAATAACATCAAACCCCCTTCTTGTTCTTGGATAGCTGTTATATAACCTGGCCAAACTTCTAACCTGGAAAAACAAATAAATGCATATCAATATCTTCATTTTCTTGGATGGCTGTTATACATATAACCTGGCAAAAACCACATTAATAAATATATATCAATATCTTCAAGGTTTATACACAACCTCTGATCATCATTAGAGGTTATTTTTAATTCCTTGCAAGCTACTGTGAAAGCTGAATCTCTATAAAGGCAAATCAGTTTCAAAAAGTCTCAATTTTATACAATCTGATTAAAATACAGATCTATATTTTGTTTCGTTTTTTTTATACTTTCGATAGCCTACACTACATGAAGCTCTGACCAGTTGTATTGGGAGGTCGTGTTCATACCAGTGGCCTTTGACCCTATAACGTCAGACATTTAATTAACCAATCACCGTTGATGTTTCTAGTGGGTTACCCACAGTTCTGTGCACTTCATGCCATTTCATTGGCTAATCCCTCACATCAACTAGAACGTGGGTTGTATAACAACCCTTCCAGATCCCAGTGTAGGAAAGACATGTAAAACGAAATTTTGAACTATAAAAAACGAAAAGGAACCTGCAGAAAAACCCACAAGTTGGTCAAGCGACCCTACTCAATGTCAAGTACAAGCGGGGAATCGAAACCACGCCACTTGACTAAAAGTCAGACCTTTTGATCCAACGCACATACGGGCACCTAGCCCCCTTAACTTTTAAAGGCTAAAGAAAGACCTGAAATAGGCCGATTCAGTTCTTGTATAATGTATGTTTAAATAATCAACCAGTGAAATATGATATACTGTCTATAAAATACAGGTGTATGTCTAGGACTTACTTGTGTTGTGGAACTGATGAGGGTGTGTGAGGATTATAGTAATATCTTCCAACTTGACACAACTCTAATATACTCATCACTCTAAAATAAAAAAGTATATAATCACTAAATATTGAGACAGACAGAAAATTTTAGATGGTTAATCTCTAGGGATAAAACTGGCATAATAGCCCCCACCCTACCCTAAAACAATCTTCTTGTTCCGAAGGTTTTTTGCTTTTTTTAACATCCTTCTGTTCAGCATCTCATATTTTAATGTTTTCTATAAAACTTGTCAGTCTGACAGACGTCACGACTGTGAAGAGGCTTAAGAGGTTCGATAGCCAATGTGTACACAACACCTCAGTTTTTTTCAAACAACTTGACGGCTGTAATTGTCAGCCCCTCCGTCCTCCACCACTGACAAAGAGGGAAACCACGTCGGAAAATTCTGATGAACTTTCTCGGCCAATGCAGGGATCGAACACACGACATCCAGGCTAGCGAGCCAGCATCTCACCCATTCAGACACCCGTGGACCCTTAGCTTCTATAGACTTACTTTCTGAGTAATATATTATAAACTTGTGTACAGCATTCTGGTGGAACGACTTTAACCAGTTTAACTGTAAGCATTATGTCAGCACCATCACTTCTTCGCTTGGAATGGAGAATTGTCGTCTGAAATATCACAAATAAAATTTACGTAATTTTAACAACCAAATGACAAGGAGATATGCCACCTTGTATTTCAAGGTACAATGGTTAAATAGGGTTATTTCCCTTGCATGTGTGACAATATGGATTCACAGTCCAAAACGTCAGGAATTGACAGAATTGCAATCGAGTGACGTGGAATTCAGTCCTGACACAGTTCTGTCAGTCCCGACTACGGAGGTGTTGTGAGAAGAATTGTGACGGAATTAAACATAACGAATATGTTTCGGCTGTCATGGTTGGTTGAGATATTTACTTATCTACTCGATCGTCACTAATTTTGGGATTGAGAGAATTCAATTCCGGAACATTCAATAGAGTACCCCCTCTAAACTTATGTCAGAAAGGAATTGGGGGTTTCAAGTCCTACTTTGTTGCATCGACTGTGATAATGAAGACCGACATTGAGGGTAATCTTGCCCCAACAGCAGCGTTTCTGCCTACTCTTCTTACACACGTGAACGTGTACATATCAGCTTGTTTTTTCATCCCCTTGAACAACTAGACGCAGGGTCTTACTGGTCCCTCCATCCTGCACCAATGGGGGAACCACAAAGGAAAATATAGGTGAGCTTTCTCTAACTCCCACAATTTGCGTTACGATTGAAATCGTGGAGTAATCGTGGTGATCCCACATGAGGGGATCAATCATAAACGATTGAATGTAAATCAATTTATATACTTTCATATTACAATTATTGTACGCGTTGCGGCCCATTTGTGCCAATTTCTAGGTCCCTAATATTAGCGACTTAGCTCCTTTAATTCAATAAACAAATAAATCAATTCAGTATATTTAAGGATGAAAACATATATTGTCGAGTGGGCATATAGTTTCGTTTGTCTCACCTCTTGAGGTAGTTTTTTAGGTAAGAAAAGTAAGGCTCCGTCAAAGGCTTTTGTTTCACCCAAAACTTCTTTGTGTTCGTAAACCATACGAATACGGACGAATTTACTGTCGACTTGGGGATTGTACGATACGTGATATTGATACACTCCTTCATTTTTACATCTAACACGAATATAGTTAGCAGACATACGGCATCTGAAATTACAATATAACAAGGATATAGTCAGCAGACATACAGCTTCTGAAATTACAATATAACAAGGATATAGTCAGCAGACATACGGCATCTGAAATTACAATATAACAAGGATATAGTTAGCAGACATACAGCATCTGAAATTACAATGGTTCAATGTCGAATAGATGGATGACAAAGCCTCACATTGGATCATCATAAGTGACACATTCAAATATTCCCGGTGGAACAATTATGAACTATTTTACACATCAAAACATTTGTAATAAAATCAATTACACTATATTTTCTGTTTTGCATGCAGTATGTTATGAGGAACATTTTGCCTGGAGCAAGGTGCTTAGCGTGCCCTTCATCGAATCTTTGCCCTTCATCGAATCTTAACCGTTAGAACACAGAGTACATACAAACAATATGATGATTTCAGTTCAGCACAACCAACAAGCTGAAAGCAGACTGGAAAATCATCACTAGGGAGCCAGCACCATAATACACAGTGCTGGGATGAAACTTGCCCACATTGCCATGACACATTTTTCCTTCACTTCCAGATTTATGGACGGTAGCTGTTCGTTCACCAGCATCAAGACCAACCCCTTGTGTCATCTAATATCTTCACTTTATCTACTATTGAAGTACTTACACTTTTCCATCACTTCCTGCTTTATGGACGGTAGCTGTTCGTTCACCAGCATCAAGACGAGATTTAGGGGCTGTAGAAGGTGGAGGTGATTTAGGAAGGGATCCATCACCGGAGCCAGATCCTGGAGATTCTGGTCGTTCCACCAACGAACCCTGTGAACCTGATAATGGAGTTCCTGGTTTAGGTGGTGACAAGCTGCCTTGTAATGATGTCGGTAAATGGGTACTTCTTCCCAACGGAACAGGAGTTCTCCTAAAAAAAAAATCAAAATTAATCGATCAGCATTAAACTGAACACAAGTACCAATTAGATGAATTAGGGCGATTTTAAATGATTTTTACGAATTATTAAACAAGGAGAGCAGAAGAGATGAAATGAAGTTTAATGTCCGCCTGACACAAACTAAGTCATTTCAGGATTAACACATGGTTCAATTTTATTTCAATAATTCGCTTGTGCGTAGACGAAAACCGGAGCTCCCGAAGAAAACCCACAAGGTTGGACATGCGACACTACTCCTCGTCACATACAACCGGGGAATCAAAACCACGCCAGTTGACTCAATCACGGCCCTTTTGATACAGCGTGCATGTGCTAACCATGCGGCATCCGTCTGTCCGCATCTTTTTAAACAGAGATTTGATATTGAATGAATGTGAAAGAAATTAGTGCTAAATACACAAGATTAAATGTTACACAGGTTAGTGATTCTTACCCTCTGATCAATGATTGAAAGTCGGCCAAACCTCGACCTCTCCTTTCTGGTAATGGCACACCTTGTACACCTAAAAAATATTGATTTAATTGATGACTTACAAGTAATTGCAGTCCTTGTACACCTAAAAATATTTATTTAATTTATATTTAGGAAAGACAAATTTATTTATTAGAATTTTCCGTCATACTTCAATATTAAACGATTGAAGGAGCTAAATTGCTAACATTTGGGACCTAGAAATTGACACAAATGGGTCACAACACATATAATAATGTAAAATGAATGTATATAAACTGATTTACATTCAATTGTTTCTGTTTTTACTCTAAATTCAAATCAGTTCTGTTCTGCGAAATATGCCAGAAGTCTCAATCAAATGGCAATCTGTAGCGTCTGGTTATTCCAGTCTACGCCGATAGTATTTATTGCGCATGCTCTCCAGATAAGAATACGGCGCCACCGTTTGGGATGACTTCTCTAATATGTCTAGCCTCATTGTTCCAAATGGCGCTGAAAGGCTTTATGGTGCACAATTCACGTACCAAATCTTAAATATTAAAAATCAGAAGCCCATCTTTTCTTGGTAAGATCACAACATCGATGTTGATTTAAATTGACAAATAATTCATGTTTTCAATGTCGAAGATGATATTGAGTTAGATACTTAGCTACTTTAAATGTTATGGAATCTCTGAAGTTGAAAAAGAAGTTTTAGTTATGAGAACTGACCTGCTGGTGCTGTTTCTGATAACGTCTGTGGTGATGGTAAAACGGGCGACTGTCCTACAGTTGGCAAAGTTTCTTTTAAACTTTGTAAAAGGAACGCACCTCGACCCAACGGACGGAATGGCACACCTGCTGCTGTACCTGGTTGTACAACTGGCTGACCAGCTGTTTTCTGAAATTTTCAATAACAAATAAATGTTATTATCGGAAATAAAATGCCGGAAGAACATTTAAAATTTGGCTGTATCACTTTACTGCACCAACCTTCCTGCCATGCAATGAGCTATTCAGTTTTGTTTTTGTTTTTTGTGACGATGGAACATGTACCCTATATGTATTAAATACTGAAGCGTTTCTTTATTGAATTTAAGAGTTTAGACTACTTTTTTATACATTTCACCGATGTGGTTACTTGTATGGTTGAATTTTACTACATGTGCTTACATTCATATTTTGTGTAGCATATAGCAGATCATGACTCATGCTGGCATTACACAATGGGTTCTTTGGGTTGTATTCCTAATTGTTTTCAAATTTGAGTGAAGTCTGTGTCACTACAGACCCGGGACTGTACAGTGCAGTGGACGCTTACGGCTGGCCTCCGGATCCATTCACTTGATTTGACATTTGTTTATTTGGTGCAATGTCTATTTTCTGTCTTGTCCGCAGGTTTATCTTGTAATACAAAGCGCATGTGCCAACCATTTGGCCATCCAACACCCCTAGTGAGCTAAGGGAAAGTGTGCTTCAACCACAGAGCAAGGATCAATCTTTATTCAATTTCTAATATACTCTACATGGTCCCATGCAAACAAATAGATGATTTTCCATGCCAGACTGTCCTGCAACACTGAGACCAAACTTGGGAACCCTATTCGTGAGTCAGCACCTTCTATAGAATTAACAATAATTGTATTCTATTACATGTACAATGTAGACCTACCTCTTCTTCTATCTGTCCAGGTTTTCTGGCTTGTTGACTTAAAGCTTTCAATAAAGCTGCTCCCCTTCCTCCTCTTCCACCACTCGCCATCTTGATTCACTCTAACTAATAATGTATCTAGATACTTTCACTGCCTGTTCAAATAAACACAATCAACATTTTAAAGAAGCTAAATCGCTAATATCTGGGAACTAGAAATTGACACAAATGGGTCCCAACGCACATAATAATGTAATATGAATGTATGTAAACTGATTTACATTCAATCGTTTCTGTTTTTACTGTATTTTCTAATCAGTTATGTTCTACGACATATGTCAAAAGTCTCTATCGAATGTTAATTAATTAATTAGTCGTTAATTACTCAACACCTTTTAAGAAACTAAACAGTTATAAACCCAACACTCATTATCTAATCTAGACAGACCTTTTAAATTACACAACAGTAAGAAAATAGTGAACTTGTGATGAATGAATGTCTCTTGTTATTGTTATATTTTATCAATGTATAAATAAATAAATAAATGATTATACATGTTCCTTTATTTATTACGGGGGGGTGGGTTGGTATAAATGTGACATTGAATTTCGTATGACTGTCCTTGAATTTTGTGTGACTGTCCTTGACTCAATTAAACCCAATCGACATTTCAATTGCATGATGTTTTGTGCTTTTTATTATGTGCTAAAAATAGCAGTATTTCATGAAAATTGCCCCCATGTGAAAATTTTGAAGTGGATGCCTTGGTAACTCCTGCTAAACCTTCACACCTAAATGATACCCAAGTTGTAGTGTACCGGTATGGTGCTAGTAGCAGAGGATGCAAATTTCTCTATGCACATGTTTGCCACAGTCATTGTTTTTTTAAGGCGAGCGATCGCTCTCAAGCGCCAGCCGCTGACCTGAATGTCTACTGAGGGGAGCTTTTTCACCCTCTCCATAAAATTGAAAATCGCTCTCCTTTAAAAAGTCATGGGGGGTGGGGGGTTTATTATCATTTATGAATCCAGGGATGATCCCCTAACATGCAGTTATTGATCTTGAGAACTATTTCCCATACACACAACTAATCACTCTCCTTAATATCAGATCACTCTCCTTAATTTCTAATTCAATCTTTTTTCAATTTGATAATTAAGGAGAGCTTTTTTTTTCGGCCCTCCTCTAAAATACAAACAACAATGACTGTTTGCCATATATACATATGTATATACTAAGAACCAGAACTTAGCTTGAACAGCTGCAGTATTTCCGCCAACATTCATCAAATTCAAAACATGGGTTTTATTTCGCACATCAACAATTATGCAGATTAACCATTAGAAAAATTTGGCAGACAGATTTGTAAATAGACTCAATTTGCCACCCTAAAGGCAGGCTCACTAACCTGGAGGTCGGGTGTTCAATCGATGCATTGGCCGAGAAAGTTCATCAGGATTTTCGGACACGGTTTCCCTGGTCAGTGGTGCAGGATTGAGGGCTTGGCAAGGACAGCTATCTAGTCGTACAGATGGGACAAAAAACCAAGGTCCTGTGTATACATTGGCGTGCATGTAAAATATCCCTTGGCAGGAAATCAATATAAGAGTATGCCATAGTGCCGCTGCCTGGGCATAATTTCCCTCATAGTCATAGCACACTGTATGGCGTATGCTCGTCTTCATTAGCCCAGTATAGGAGCAGAACAGTAGGACATTAAACCCCATTTCATTTCATTTCATTTCCAACCATAACCACAATGCTTGAAATCTCTTTTGATCAAAGGCTACGCAATAGTGCATTTGATGTCGGGTGCTACTATCACAGGCCTATAGCATAAAATAATACGAAGTTTAACATTCTGCACTGATTGGGCTAATGAAGACAGTGCTACAGGCAGACTACAGTAGGCTATGGGGACAATTTTGAACGACAGCGGCCTATCCTCTTATTGAATTCAAAATGTCGAGGTTTCTTTTACATGTACATGCATGTCAATGGCCAAGCAAGCCAATGTATATAAGGAACCTTGGTTTTTCGTACCATCCAAACATTGCAAACAACTGTACATTCTTCCTTGTTAGGTATATTATTTAATATCAGGCCCTTCATAATGCACCAATGACAATGGGGAACCACGTCAGCAAATCCTATCAAACTTTCTCGGTCAACACAGGGCTTGAGTTGAACACAGGACCTCAAGGTTAGCGACCAATGTCTCTTAGTCTTTCTGAACCACCGTGCCTTCCTATACGTTACGTATAGTGTAAGTAGTCAGCCCCATCGACACCTGTGGTATTTTGGAATATAATCTATGTGGCATGTAAAATGCACCGAATTCTCTACGTTTCATCGTTTCCCGTACCGGTAGCATTTTGGGGGTTTTATCCGTGCAATCAAGAGCAGATTTGTCCAAGTAAAAATTGGTTGCTAGACTGGATTCAAATACGGAGAAAAACAACTTTGTAGAGGTGAGGGATGTCTGGGTTGGTTTTGACTAGTCTGCTAGTGCTACTCTGTAATTCAACCATACGTGATTGACAAGGGCTGAGTAGAAAGTAACTTTATCTAGAGAAAATCACGCCAATCAGAGTTATGCAGACTAACAGAGCCTGAGAAATGTAAAAAAAAGTTTACAAGTCAGCAAGTTTGGCTTTTGAATTATGAATGAAACAGGGTTTAACGTCCTAGTCCTACTTTTCCGCATTCGGAAAACCTCAACAAGACTCCAGTGCATTACATCTACCCTTGGCTGTTTGATGAATTCCCTCATTGAAACCACTAAAGAAAATACTAAATCTACATTCAAAGATGTCATGTATTTTTCAGGGTTTTTCATTAAGAATAAAAAAAAATAACTCCAGAAAGTTATAAAAAAGCTTAAAATTAAAATATAAAACAGGCGAAATCTACCTGGTTCTAAATGACATTAAAACGGCGTGTGCAACAGGCTCTCGGCAATAAAAAAAACTTTAAAAATAAATAGGTGACCACCCCATGTGCTCAGTAATAACGAACTTTCCCGCGAGCTTTCTGACGTTCAACGGTTTAGGATAAAAATTTCAGGCCAAGTGCACAGACTAACTAAAAGTTCAAGTAGAACTGAGAAGCTATAGCAGTAAAACGAATACTGGGCGAAAGAAAAAATATAAAATGTACTATACTTGACCTAAAAATACATGAATTCGTCTCCTAGGATACTTGATATCTTCAAAATATAACTTTATTTTCGTGAGCCAACAACTAAGACATTTCAAAAGCGCTGAAGAGTTCTGCTTAAAGAGCCCGGATGCTGCTTATCTCCCTTTGCACACGCCGCGGGAATAATTTTGCCTCGGTTATCAAAAATGAAATGTAGTTGTTAACTTGGGTGAACGGACAGAGGGGACAAGATGGTAAATACCCCCCCCCCCCCCTCCCGCCGACTCTCGCAAACCTACGTCCACGGCCAAATGGTTTGTCTTTGATTTGGACTCTGGGAGAATAAGAAAATAGAAATCAATGCGCGAGGTGGGCAAGTTGCAGCTTTATTTATGCCAATAATCCACTTGCGCGTGAGAGGAAACCGGGGGAACCCAGAGAAAACCCACGAGGTTAGCCAGGTGATCCCACCTTCTGTCACATACACGTGTGTTATGAAAACCATTTTACTCAAACTCAATGAAAGAATTTATGATTTAAAACGGTCTCAGTAGGCCTAGATACCCCCCCCCCCCCCGCTTTCAACATGATAACAATTCTTCTGACCAGTTTCCCTAAATTGGGCCCTGCACTAGAAAGGGACCCCGAAGGTCACCAACTTAAACATTTTTCAGGCAATCTGGTAACAGGACCGCCAGGTATGGCTATTATTGTGAAGTAAAGCATAGTGGTCCTTATATTATATGAATGAATATAGGCCTATAGTTAAAATTATTTATATCCTGCAATGTATTCATAGCCTCTAACTTCGAGCCCCCCCAAATTGGGCCCCGCATTTTGTACAACTGGTCCTGCTTCTGAGGACGTGAATTAATTTTTCAACAATGTTCACGTCGCGTAACTTTTCGAAACAATGTTGCTACTTGCCACAACTTCTGGCCAGTTTTCACATTACATCAATAAACTTGCTGAGGTCAAAAAGCAAATTACCCGTGTTTATGTATAAAAATAGGATCGGTCGGATGGAAAATCTTTTTATTTTTTACACGAATCGAGGGTTTTGTATCATCTATTTTCTAGATTATTTGCTAAGTAAGGGTTCCTGAAAATAATACCGAGCTCTCGATGTTAGAATTTATCTAGGGAAAATCTCGCCAATCCGAGTTATACAGAGCCTGAGAAAAGTTTAGAATCGGCGAGTTTGGCCTTTGAATGAGACGGGGTTTAACGTCCTACTTTTCTGCATTCATAGGCGTAGGAGCTCAAAGTAATTCAGGGGGGCATAAGAGAAAATTGCCCGAAATCAATACCGTTTTTTCGGGCATACATATCATAAGAGAGCTTCGGGCATATTTTCGGGCATGCAGTGGACAAGAAAAAGACGAGAAAATACTTTTCGGGCAGTGTGGATCTTATAGAAATAAGTTAGTTATATTGTTTTCCTAAACGTTAATAGAAAAAAAAGGTCGTCGAATTTTTCATTGCCCGAAAATAAATTTTTGCCCCCCCCCCCCCGGCTCCTACGCCTATGTCTGCATTCGGCAAACCTCGACAGACTCCGGTACCTTACACCTAACAACGGCTGTTTGACGAATTCCCCTATTGGAACTACTTTCAAGTTCCCGGATTAAAAATGGCGGCGCCAATGAAGCTAGATACACAATCTTGACCATCATACAAAAGCTTTCAATATCTGAAGCTGTTTTTCTTTCAAGTTTATCTGATTTTCTTTAATAAAGGACAACTCTGGCATTTTAAGAACTTCTTTCTAAAAGTGTCAAGTTTTCTTAATATACCGGTAGCCGTATCCCCATTGTATGGGCGTAGCTATAGATCACAATCTGATTAAAATACAGATCTATATTTCGTTTCGTTTTTTATACTTTCGATGACCTACACTACATGAAGATCTGCGCGTCAGAGGTCATACGAACGACTTTTGACCCTATGATGTCAGACATTTGATTAACCAATCATCATTGATGTTACTAGTGGATTACCCACAGTTCAGTGCAACACACGCGTAAAGCTCGCCGTAACAGACTGTTTCATTGGCTAACCCCTCATATTATTCAGAACATGTCAATGATTACAACTCTTCAAGATCCTAGTGTAGTAAAGACAAGTAAAACGAAATTTTAAAGTAGCTATGTCTCTAACTCTGTATCATCCAAAACCTTCGACATTGAAAACACGAATTATTTGTCAATTTTAATCAACATTGGTGTTGTGATCTTACCGGGAAAAGATGGGTTTCTGATATCCAATATTTAAGACAAAAAAAAAACATTTTACGATTGGTACACGAATTGTGTACCATAATGCGTTTCAGCGCAATTTGCAACAAGCAACCAGAAGAACGAGGTTAGACATATTGCACAAGTCATGTCAAACGGTGACCCCATATTCTTATCTGGAGAGCAATAAATACTATCGGTATAGAATGGAATACCAGTCGCTAGAGATTACCATTCGATTGAGACTTCTGGCGTATTTCGCCGAACATAGATGATTTGAAATTAGAGTAAAAACGGAAACGATTGAATGTAAATCAGTTTATTTACATTCATGTTACATTATTATATACGTTGCGACCCATTTGTGTCCATTTCTAGGTCCCAAATATTGGCGATTTAGCTCCTTTAAAAAAATAAAAACGAAACAAAATAGGATCTGTGTTTTAATCAGATTGGTACATATCACGCAATCTGTTTCACAGAGAATTAATAGTCTAGTGATATATCTCTGTCAAAGATGACTGCCTTAACACGTGCTGTCACAGCACGCGGCGTCAATCATTGGATGAATGGCGCTTGCATTGTTTACATAAGACGCTACTGCTTCGGAGAGAATGCTGCATTTTAGTCATTTTAATACCCATTTACACTAAATAGGAAATAATTTTTACCTACAAATACGTCAAACGCCTTTATTTATTTTTCCAATACATAAAAAATGTTTTAGAATTTAATTTGTCGCAGGAAAAAAGTTAATATTTCTGGTTCATTAAGCCGCATCGATGTCATCCTTATCAGTGATTGTAGCGGCCTAGCAAATATTCACTGCGGATCAGTGTGCATATCACGATGTAAGGTACCAGAGTCCTCAGAGGTAGGGTGACCCGTGCACTTTACAGAAAATTGGTCTCGACACGGCTAAATGTGCACGCTTCAGTTGCGTGTCTTGAACTGATTTCTGACTACCCTGCACTCGCTTTGAGTCGATACGTGCAATTCTCTACAAATATATCAACTATTACAGCCGTAAAAAATCTATTGTTGACGATTTTGAATAGCAGTAAAATTTAGCTTCTTGGTTATTACAGCAGCTTTAGTATTACGTTTGTTTTATTTTTTAAATTGCTTTATCATTAACTGTACCGTTAAGAGCGGCATCTTTTGGTTTAGTACAAATACTATCTCTGAATCACTTTCTTTAGCAGGAACATGATACTAGCAGTAGTTTCATTTTACTTTTACAAGTTTCTTAAAACAATTGTTGAGTTGTCTAAAGTGCTTATTTCTAAATTCAATTTCTTGTTCTAGCTTTCTGTTATGTTTCGTAAAAAAAGTAGTCTTGATTATCCCGACCTGTCAATCAGACGTAGAATGGTCGATAGACTGGTTACGCGAGACTAATTTCAAAACAAGGGCACGTAACCTATCTTTTACTCTAAAGTGTCTGGATGTTATGGACGCAACTTGGAACCAGTTTTCAGTCTAATATTTATAGATGATTAATGGTCATAGCTTATTAAGTACATGATCGTTTATTTAGTGACTATAATTGTGTGAAACTGATTTGAGGCTTGGCATATATATAAATATTGTGGCGTAATTGTCGAGATATTTGGAGATATTTATTTATGGTGGGTCACCCTATCAGAGGTTTGCCAAATGACTTTCTAATTGTCACGGGTATTTTTTTTTTTTTTTTTTTTTTTAGCTAGGCCCCCGTCCTGACTTGGAAAACCACACTGGGGGAATCTTCTCGGCCAATACCGGGATATCGAACCCCGGCTCTGGTTAGTGAACAAACGTGGTCTTACTTCTCTCAAAGGCAGATCTAATGGGAGGTGCAACCGGCGCAGCCCCCCACTCCCCCATTAGTTCTTATTGCGCCTGGGAGCCGAGTTGCCGGCTGCTGCGCAAGTTAGCACGACCACGATCCCCAGGCCAGTGCACCCTTATCTATGGTCTGTGGATCCGTCCCTTTTTCGGCCCCTTATCGAGCTCAGTTTATTTTTAAGCGCACACCAACGTGTATTTGATATTTTGTACCTTCCTTGTCAGGCCCTCTGTTCTGCACAACTGACAAGGGAAAACCACACTTGACCTTCCTCAGCCACCGTGGTTCCGGTACGAATTGAATGAAATAGAAAGGTAGAAAGGAAGGTTAAACGTCCTGCTGTTTACAGCGACTGATTTAGACATACGTGTGCGAGCCCACGTTTTACTCCCCGGATCACCGCGGTTCCAATCCTCAACAGACTACGTCAATCATCTGGTGTTTTAAACAATGCGAAGTATCAAGTTTATTTCCTGCTGACTTTCTAATCGCTCACGTAGTCCAAAATGCACCAAGAACTGGGTTCACGAATCTTACTATAATATGGATGCTTGAAATGACTCATGTAAAAGGTGCAATTTTTATGGCACTTTTGTCCACGTTCACCTCATCTGCAGTGTCAAGAGAGCACTTCTGATAATGAGGCGGAATTTTGGCGGGAATCATTATGTGCTCGAAATGGCGGTTAAATAAACAAATTGTCATGGTATAATTTGTAGCAGTAATGACGAGAATATTCGGGCAATTCTAGCATTCATTACATAATTATTCACATATGTCAAGCGGATAGTCTGATGAAATAGGATTTTAACGGATGAGTTTGCTCGGGTGAGCAGGGGCCGTGTGTGTGTGTGGGGAGGGGGGGGGGGGGGGGGGGCTCGGAGGTATGCCGATTAATTTTTTTTTTTTTTAAACCACAAATTGTTGGTATAAGTTCATAAAATGAAAATACATTTTTTAACAAAAGTCGAACAAAATCGGTGACTTTTCTGAATAAAACACTATAAATCAAATGCCAGCTATCGCGCCGTGGGGCCCTGGTCCGTCCTCGGTCCGCTAGATCTCTCGTCACCGTCAGAGTATCCGGGCAGCCTTCCGTTTGAATCCAGTTCAACATGATTTGGGGTATTGAAAAAAATAACAGCCCATTATTTGTATCGATAGAGGCGCGGGGCGGCGGAGAGAGGAGAGGGTTACACCGTCATTGGGATGGCAAGGAATGGCGTTGTTTGGATAGTGTAAAAAATAAAACCCAACAAGTCCCGTCGGTCTCATTGGCAGCACACTAAAGATCCCTATCTGGTGGAAACCGACATAACAGTTGGCTGGTTCGCCGCTATCTGAGATGTAACACTATTTTAGTGATAACAGATATCGGTTTCGTAAATATATGATTTATTTAAATCGGGAATAGGAATTTATAACAAAAACATAAACACAACAGGAACATACATACAACAGGAACTAAACTATATCAGGAATATAAACAATAACATTAACACAGTACATGGATAGTTTAAGATAACCATTCAGCGCCTCTGCCACAGCTGCGGCTGAACTCGGGCGAGTCCATTCGCCGGTTTCTGCTCCTCTCTTCGCCCCGCCTCTCTCCGTCTCTCTCCTCTCGTCTCCCTGACGGTCAGTAAACCGATGGTTATATACCTTACAACTGGGTCTCCACACACGAGACCATTACTATATATGGTGTTTACAAGTTATCTTAATTTCGATGAATGGTATAAATCAATCTGGTTAAAACACAGATCCAATTTCGTTTCATTTTTATAGTTCAAAATTTCGATTTTACTTGTCTTTACTACACTTGGGTAGGCCATCGAAAGTATAAAAAACGAAACGAAATATAGATCTATATTTTAATTAGATTGGGTATAAATATATATACAGTGCATTTCTACATTGTCCATACGTATGTGGAATTGATAGTCTTTAATTAGTGCGTACAAAGTGCATAGATGAAAAGCCGATATTAAAACCAGCTGGGGTCAATAAGTTCACTGCATCTAAATAATAGTTTATTTTTCATAAAATTGAAAATTAAACACTGTCACAGAGAAGAGAGAGAGAAAAATGGGGTTTAACGTCCACTCGACACAAATTAGGTCACCTCGGGACTAACCCATTGTTCAATTTTATTTCAATAATTCGCTTGCGCGTAGGGGTCTTCTTTAGCAGTGGGAGGAAACCGGAGGACCGAGAGAAAAACCCACGAGGTTGGACAGGCGATCCTACACAGAGATGCGCACTTCGCTCCCAGCACACTGCATGACGTACACCCATCATCTTTAACCCGATTGGTGCAGAAAAGTAGGACGTTAAACTCCATTTCATTTGTGTAAATTGGTGATTAGAGCGGATCTTATAAATAAACACGCAGCTGGGTTTTAAACTACTAATTTGTATTTTTAATCCCAATTGCGTAACAACTAATTTTCTGGATTAAATGTTGAGCAACAACATACAAGATCTCAACCACGATTTAAAAACTAGTACGGTACAGTGTACATTAAAGATGCCTCCCCGCGTACAAACTGGGTGATTTGATGATATATTTAAATATGCTTTCCCGCGTACAAACTGGGTGATTTGATGATATATTTGGATTAAATACATATTCAAACTAAATTATCTATTAATAGTTTACTTTAAATTCCTCTCAAAACATTTGGGTCTGAAGAAAACTGGCCCATGCCGCTTGCCGAAAGAATCTATTTTGATCACCCTTTACAATAAGAGAATTGATTATGGGAAAATCAATTAGAGTTTGTAGTTGTCGTTAGTCGCTGTTCATTTACCTTACAAATCGAAGCCTAAGTTTATATGGTCTTTAATTGGGTGTATGACGAATGTAAAACTGAGTAGAACCGCATTACAAAATAGTATACTAAGTTTTGTATATGGCTGTCATTTAGGGCAGATATCTATTCCCGAAGTATGAAGTAGATGGTCCTGTGTGCATAATTAACTTTTGTTAGAATATATCTTTAACTTAGCTATGAGCACATCGATATTAGATCAGAGAGAGAAATGGGGTTTAACGTCCACTCGACACAAACTAGGTCATTTCGGGACTAACATATGGTTTTTAAAATTTTATTTCAATAATACGCTTGTGTGTAGGGGTCTATAGCAGTGGGAGGAAACCGGAGGACCCGGAGAAAACCCACGAGGTTGGACAGGCGACCCTACTCCTTGTCACGTACAACCGGGGATTCGAAACCACGCCAGTCGACTCAATGACAGACTTTATGATACAGCGCGCGCACGCTAACCATTCAGCCATCCAACCCCCAACATATAAAGAAGAACCCCTTGTCATGGCACTTTCGTGACAAGGCCGTTGACAATGAAACCAGGGAGAGGGACGTAATGACGAACTTGCCTTTGCGTCAAGTTTTGAGTTTTTGCGCCCCCGTGCAAATTACAAAAATAATGCGGTTTCAATGCTGTTTTCAATATTATAATCATAATCATAGTGCCCAACCAGTGTCAAACATTTACCGTGGGTCAGATATTCTACATATCGACTCTAGGATGTTCCGCATAGTCCAGTATTATCCGGTGGCACTGGGAGGGACTAACACCCCACCCCACCCCCTCACCCTCCCTACACACACATATAAATATTGTTTTTTGGGGGGCGCGGACGAGATCTTGTTCCTCATGCAAAATCATGGGTCACCACTACCCTAAATGACATAAAAGATTTTCACGAACGTTTGCTATTCATTTTTTCTGTTTGTCAACCAATCCATATTTTGATGAAATTGGTGCCCATTCTGTGTGCTGTTCTGGACTATTCTAATGATTCACGATTAATTAGCCAAAACAGTTAATATTCAGATTTTTTCAGTCAACCAATCCATATTTTGGTGAAATTGATTCCCATTCTATGTGTTGTTCTAAACTATTCTAAAATATTAAAATAAAATCCCGGATTAGCGCTGATGATTCGCGGTTTTATCAGCCAAAACAGTTTAACGCAGTGTTCCAGATTGAAATTTTCTTTAAACATACCGTTCAACGTTTTTATGCGGTTTTGTTTACATTATTTCGCTGTTAAATTACCTAATCTATTCAATAATTTACTTTACAAACACTAACAAACCATGTATCCATTTTAAACAAAATTCCCGTTAAAAACTGGTATAAGGCCATGTGTACATGTATAGGATTGACTTGAATACCGAGTTGTTCAGATCAGACGGCTAGAAACTGAGCACGTGGGTTGAAGAACAAATAAAGGATGTCGTCACGGTGTCACCTCGCGCTATAACCACCATTTTAATTGGCTGAATGAAATGTCAAGATTTACATTACAAATTATTTTTCCGTCTATTTCCGTGAATTTTGCTAATTTAGTAAAAGTTATTCTGTGTGGAAGAGATCAACTATGATTGTTTTGTTTGTTGAGATTTGAGTGTAACTTTGTCTACACGGTCACAACGGGTTCAATGTTTCTGTGTCTGAAAGATGAGTCGGGTGTAAAACTTCTAGAGGATGTTAGCCGACAAAAGTCACACAATTATTAGAACAAGGTGAGTCAATGTAAGCTTTTTAACCTCATAAAGACATTTCTAAATTCCTTTGAATTTTGATTCTGATGTATTTGTTGGGGTTGTTTTTTTTATATCTTTGTGTTCTGTTACGGATTTTTTTTTTTTTTTTTTTTTTTTTTGTGTGTATTTTGACTCGTACGAAAACGCAATCTCACAGACCACTTTTTCAATATAAAAACGATTAGAAATTTCGAAATTCCTTTTTTGTGTATTTTGACTCGTGCTAATGTGAACGCAGACAGACTACTTTTCCAATACAAAAACGATAAGAAATTTCTAAATTCCTTTTTGTGTATTTTGACTCGTGCTATTGTGAAGTCTCACAGACTACTTTTCCAATACAAAAACGATTAATTGTGTTAAATTGTAACTGGCTAAAAGTTTTGGGTTTGTTTTCTTTTGTTTGTTTTTTTTATTATTATTTTTGCTTTGTTTTTTTTTTTTCGCTTTTTTTTTTGCTTTTTTTCCCCAAGAAAAGAGATATAAACTTGTATAACTGTACGTTTGATAAATATGGAAAAACACAAATCTAAATCTCAAATCTCTCTTCGTGCTATTTCGTGATTTAGTTTCGGCGTCTATAATAATTTCAGACAGATACAAAAATAAATAACATTGTCTAGAATGTAGGCCCTATGTGGAAATGTGAAATATATTTTCAAAAACTGTTTTGGAAAGTGGAAATATCATAGCAACCAATATGGCTACGTCATGAAGTCTGCTATATATTGGGGGAAGGGGGGGGGGGGGGCTTCGTGCGTTGCCAGAGAAAGTTCATCGGGATTCTTTCGGTGTAGTTCCTCCTTATCTAAAAGATATTTGTTCTTTATTTTGGCGGAGAAAATATATGGCTAATAAATTAAAATGAAAATTTGGCGGGAAAAAAATGAAACCCAGAGTGAGCACTGATTCAGTGGTGCAGGACAGACGGACGACCTGACAAGAGACAACGGTTGCTTCAAAACCCTCTCAAAACATTTAACCAGAAGGGAAGTACCCCAATCTATTTTAAGCAACCGTATTTATCTCGTGACTTGACAGGGGCGGGGAATCCGTTTACGGCTTGTATTTGTCGTTATTCGCTGTCTATTTACCATAAATATCGAAGCTAGTAAATTCTTGGGTTATCGCCTGCCAACTTACTTTTCCGCCGTATAATCGCAGAGTCTATCGGACGCTTAATTCTCTCCTGGGTGTTTTTCAGTGGATCCAGTATTTGTCTAGTAAGATTGGTTGTTTCTACTTTCTATATATACCAAATATGGCATATTTTTATTGGAAATAATGATATACTGTTTGAATGGCATTTAGTAATTGGACACATTAAAATAAACACAACAGTTCTATGGATAAGAATTAATGTATTTCTAGTAAAGCTATGTTTCAACAAAGGGTCACTGTCAGACAAAGGGGAAGCATTGACTTCTGTTTAAGATTAGATTGATGAATAATCAAGATACATGTAGGCGTATAGACGGTAACATTCAAAACCACCAACAAAGTAAAAGTATTTCTGTAACATTAAAATAAACATAACAGTTCTATGGATAACAATTACTATATTTCTATTAAAGCTACATTTCAACAATGATTCTCTTGTTTTTATTTGATTGAAATAATGATCCTATAAATGCTTTCGTGGGAATGTAGCTTTAATCCCGACAGGCGTTCCTATTGTACAGTACAGGCTGACCCAAAACAATCTGATTAAAATAAAGATCTATATTTCATTTCGCATGTTTCGTATTGCTATACCTCCCATGGTGATATGATCTGTGTTTTAATCAGATTATGTCCAAAACATTTTCAATAAATGCCATTGGAAAAGGGGGTGGGGCGGGGGGGGGGGGGGACTAAAACAGATGAACGCTGTACTTCTCCACCAAAACATATTGTTTTACAATTCATTTATTTCGTAATATTTTATTTCGAACAAAATATTTATATTTTAAGATTGTAATCACCGATTGACACCTGGCCATTGTTTAGCGTTTATCTTTATATCAAGATCAAAATCACCCATTGACATATGGCCATTGTTTCAAATTTATTGTCGTTGATCTACACAAAACAGTAACGATAAGAGCATGGCTTGACGTGTGATCAACAAATGATTTGACCACGTGTCTGACACGCCCACCTTTTGTTTTCGTATTTACCAACTAAATAACTGAACATTATAAACGTTTTAACGACATATAAACGCGCATGTTTCCGGAATGGAGGGGTTTAATGTTAAACAGCTCATCGGACAGTCGCTGTATCTGTTTACTGATTTATAGTACACCATGCTTGCTCGTTAATATCGGTTCGTGATAACAGTTATAATTGTGCCCAAAACTCTGAAACACTGTAAAAAATAAAATACTTCGCAAAATATAAAACATTAAAGATACATTCCCGGGTACAAACTGGGTGATTTGATGATATATTTGGACTAAAAACATATTCAAACTAATTAATTTATCATAATTTTGCTTCAAATCCTTCTCAAAACATAGCAATTGTCAGGGAATACCCGGCTATAAAAACTCGATTAAAAGAGGTTATGTTTGTGTCACTTGACACAAAGGGTGCGATGTCGGAGGAGAATTCATTTCATACAAAAGATGATGTTGCCTTTATCGCTGACTATTTATTACAAATATCGAAGCCTAATTAAATTCTCGGATTATCCACTACCCGCGTCTTTTACCGTGATTTTTATCTCAGAAAGTGTTGTACGTCTAACTCTTCATAAAGTTTATCAACATGTACATCAAGCGCTCAATCTCCGCGTGCAACCTTCGACGTCACGCGTGCACACTCCTAATCGTCGGACTGTCGATTAGGGAAACCCGTACATTTTTGTCCTGTATGCACTCCATGGGTGTTTTTCAGGGAATCCAGTATTTTTCTAGTAAGATTGGATATTTCTACTTTCCATATATACCAAAATTACCATACTGTAATTGGAAATAACTATCCGATAAATACTTTTCTGGGAACGTAGTAGCAAAGTCTCTAACTCAAAATCACCCAAAGTCTTCGACATTGAAAACACGAATTATTTGTCAATTTAAATCAACAGTGATGTTGTTATCTTACCAGGAAAAGTTGTGCTTCTAATATCCAATATTTAAGACAAAATAAACATTTTACCATTGGTACACGAATCGTGTACCATAATGCGTTTTAGTGCCATTTCTAAGAAGGGACTTGAAGAACGAGGATAGACATATTATTCTACAAGTCACGTGAAACGATTGAGACTTCTAGCGTTGCGATCCATGTGTGTTAATTTCTAGGTCCCAAATATTAGCGATTTAGCTCCTTAAATTGATAATTTTAATTTTAAAAAAGGAGTCACGTTGTCTCAGTGAGTAAGGCTTGATCCTGGTTCTGTCTGTAGCGCCGCTGTTCGGGCAAACGTTTATCACTTCATGGCGTGCTCGCCTCTTCATTAACACTGTTGGTGCAGAAATGTGTGAGGGAAATTTTGTCCGGACAGCGGCGCTACGGTCTACTCTTATGTGGATATGCCTTTTTGCTCGGAAGTCGGGCCTTCGTCTAATACTACCCATCGTATTGAAATGAAATGGGGTTTAACGTCCCACTGTTCTGCTCCGAACTGGGCTAATGAAAACGGGCATACGCCACACACTGTGCTATAATATGAGGGAAACTTTGCCCGGACCACTAGAAATGTAAACGCTGATTGATTAATCAAATGTCTGACGTCATAGGGTCAAAAGCCGCTCGTACGACCCCTGACGCGACCTTCCAGTGCAACTGGTCAGATCTTCATGTAGTGTAAGCCATCGAAAGCATAAAAAAAACGAAACTATAAATAGATCTGTATTTTAATCAGATTGTCAGTGGGTAAGAATTTGGCTCGCTAACCCGGAGGTCCCATGTTCGATCCCTGCGTTGGCCGAGAAAGTTCAATCGGGATTTTGCGGCATGCCCCCCCCCCCTTGTCAGTTGAATTCGATATAAGAGTAGGTCATAGTGCCGCTGTCCGGGCAAAATTTCCCGCACAGCACACTGTATGGCGTATGCCCGTCTTCTTTAGCCCAGTAGGAGCAGAACGGTAGAATTTAAAACCCAATTTCATTTCGTTTCATTTTATTAAGAAAAATGTCTTCCATATTGTGTTTGTTTACCAGTCATCAATGACGTAGCCATATTGTTAAAGGAGCTAAATCGCTAATATTTGGGACCTAGAAATTGACCCAAATGGGTCGCAACGTATATAATAATGTAATCAGATTGTATATAAACTGATTTACATTCAATTGTTTCCGTTTTGACTCTAATTTCAAATCAGTTATGTCCAGCGAAATACGGTATGAGTCTCAACCGAATGGCAATTTTTAGCGTCTGGTTATTCCAGTCAATTGTGCATGCTCTCCAGATAAGATATGACGTCGCCGTTTGACATGCGTTGTTGGATATGTCTAGCCTCGTTCTTCCTGGTCACTTGTTACAAATGACGCTGAAACGCACTATGGTACACGATTCGTGTACCAATGGTAAAATGTTTATTTTTTCTTAAATATTGGATATCAGAAGCCTACCTTTTTCATGTAAGATCACAACATCAATGTTGATTTGAATTTACAAATAATTCGTGTTTTTAACGTGTAAGACTTAGCTTCTTTAACTATAAATGTCTAAATGTGATATAAATATTTTCAAAAGAAATATCCGATTGATTCTGAGAAAATCTTTCAAAGAATTATATTCCCGAGTAAAATTTACTTTATCAGAAATATTTCTATTTTTCTTTTTACAGTGTTGATAAATTATTTCATGACACAGAATACGTTAACGCCATTTATTTTCATACATATAATAATAATAGTCTGTTTCCTTTGCCCCTCACATTTGATAATTGTGATTCCGCTAATGACAAGCTACCAAGCGCTTCTGATGATGGACTACCATCACCAAACATACAACGATTCAACAATTGTGAATCTTGTATAATAGATAAGTGCAATCACAATTAGGAATTGGACTAAATATATAACATGGATTAAGACACTGAAACTTTTCAGTAATTATCAGTAAGAATTAATATTTTGAAGTATCGATTCATTTAAAATTTAAAATTTTGAATGGAATTTTAAATTCACATATTTTAAATTGTCAAATTTTGAATGCAATTTTAAGTTGTCAAATTTTGAATGGAAGTTTAAATTGTCAAATTTTGAATGGAGTTTTAAATTGTCAAATTTTGAATGGAATTTTAAATTGTCAAATTTTGAACGCAATTTTAAATTGTCAAATTTTGAATGCAATTCTAAATTGTCAAATTTTGAATGCAATTTTAAATTGTCAAATTTTGAATGGAAGTTTAAATTGTCATATTTTGAATGGAAGTTTAAATTTTCTAGTCTATGGTAACATAATCTATTTTCATTTCAATATTGTAATATTTTTATTGTTTTAAAATCTTAAAGATACATTATGGGAGAGTCGGTAATGAGTTGGCAGTTCTCACTATAATAGTTAAAAACTAGATAATGTAAAGGCAATTTGCTGAAACTATGAATCGAGAACTAAGCGATTGAAATTACTTAAGTCTGTACGATAAACAGCATAGTCTCGATTATCCATGTAATCGTTAAATCGCGAAGGAAAGTTATGCAGTAAATCGGCCCATAATCCACTAAAGATCGCAGGCTAGCGATGCCATCTTGAGTTGATTATGGTCTGGATAAGTTAATTAATGTCTAATTAATAATTTAGATAACATTTCAGGCCTAAAGAAAGACCTGCAATAGACAGATTTAGCTCTTGCATAATGTATGTTTAATAATTGTTTTCTTTTGTATTTTTTTCACAATAGGTTTATCACGCAAGAATGTCTTCAGGAGATCAACACGGATGAAGTTTCGTGGATTTGAATTTACGGAAAGCAGTAACCAAATAATACGTTTTTAAATTGTCAAATTAACGTCTTGTTGTTAGGGTATCAAATTAACGATCAGTTATTGGCCAATTTACTGCGATTGACGTTATGAAGTTCGCCGTTACATTGGTTACATTGTCGTCGATACTGACATTTTTTGGTGTGGCTAGTATTGGTTTCGAACTCCCAGAAATCCCGGCGAATATCCTAGAGATTTTGGGGAATTTTTCATGCGGTGCTAAGTGGGAGTGTCCATCCAATGCGCCTAATGGAACGACTAGTTTTTGTTCGTGTGATGAATTTTGTGAACTCGTAGGCGTAAGTGACTGTTGCCAAGGTTACCAAAAAACCGACAAATCAATTTTCACCGCTTCAAATTTTAAGACAAGTAACTTCCGTTGCTTAGACAATCCTCTAGCAGACGCCGATTACGATGTCCTGATGGTGTACACATGCCCTGATGATTGGAAAGGGGAGATAATTCGGGACCTGTGTGAACACGGTAAAATAGATGGTGCCGATTTTCAGACAATTCCCGTGAGCGGTGCGTTCAGTGGATTGGTCTATAAAAACCAATACTGCGCCAGGTGTCACCGCGAAAAATTCGAATTTTGGAAACCGCACTTCGGTTGTTTAGAACCGTTCATTTCTCGCGAAAATCCAGATGAAAAACCCGCCATGTCTGTGCTTGTAAGGAAAGGAAGCTGCGCGATAGACAAAGTGATTCCGCCTGATGGGTACACAATTAGAAGATGTTCTGCCAAGAAACACCGCGGTATTGTTGATAGCTGTCCGCCATCTTTCAACCAGCATGCCGAGATAAAGACACTGTGCGAGGAAACTGAGGGTATTCGGCCCGTTTATTATATCGGAGAGACAAAAATGAAGAATATATATTGCGGTTATTGCGGAACACGTGATATCTCGCAGTACGAGTGCCCTAAAACAATAGACATAAAGCGACTCGGAGAGTTTTATCCGTTCACAATTCTTTTTAACATCAATGATTTGGAAAAGGGCGATAACTCTGGAACTAACGTCGTCTGCGAAAAACACCAGGTATTTGATCCTTTCAGTGACGTGTGTCGCGATGCTTATTGTGGCGATAACCAAATATTCCAAGACGGGGAGTGTGTTTCCCCGGCAGCAGTCAGTGGACGACAGTCAAACGGGACTGCACGTGATAAGACCTGCCCACGCATTGCCCTGGATAAATCAGAATTCAAAATATCAGAGACAGGTGTGTTGACTGTTTTAAATTCAAATTATGTTTTTGATTTTGGTGACTATGAACTGACCGACAATGGAACAGGTGCTCTCGTTTGTACTAATTTTACAAGAAATGCGACCTCGTCAGAGGTGGAATATTCTTTTGATAAGGTGCAAGGGATTCTCACCTTGGTCGGCATCTCTCTATCCATCATCGGCTGTCTGTTAACGATTGCAGTTTACCTGAGTTTTAAATCCTTGCGGAACATCCCAGGTAAAATCGTCATAGCGTTGTGTATAACCCTGATCATAGGCTACCTGGCGATGATGATAGGACCCGCCATGGAGGACTCTTACAGTGGATGCAAAACTTTCGCCATTCTAATGCATTACTCTTTCCTGTTGGCCTTCTTTTGGATGAACGTAATGGCGATTGACGTTTGGTACACCTTCTCGAAGGCCTACTACCAAGCTGGTACGCAGGCCCACAAGACAAACCGGTTTAAGTTCTACATGGTGTATGTATTCATAATGGCTACCACACCCGTCGTTTTGGCAATCATCTTAAATGAAACGGGAATCGGCGAAGGGTTCGCTCCCCATTACGGGGAAGGCGTCTGTTGGATCAACCGGAAGAACGCGCTCATGGTTTTCTTTGGATTACCATCGCTGCTTGTAATACTTAGCAACATCGTGCTCTTCGCCGTTGCTGCCAAGACCATTTACGTCGCCCAGAAGAATTCTGCACGTCTGCTGGGGAAGGAAGATAAGGGGATGCTGGGAATCTACATCCGGCTGACATGCGTCATGGGCTTGACATATTTATTCGGATTTTTGGCGCCGGTTATCAATCACGCGGTCACGTGGTATCTGTTTATAATTCTTAACACCTTACAAGGCGTTTTTATTTTCGTATCGTTCGTCTGCACGCATAAAGTTGTCGGATTAGCACGTGAGCGCGCGAGTACCCTGAGTCACAGTCGCTCTGATAATTCCTATTCCGCAAGTCGATCACCAACCAAATCTTCTGTCTTGTCTTTTCGGGCAATAAAATGAACAACATTGGTTAATAATTAAATACCTTTTATTAAGCTTGCCACAGTTTTTATCTTTTTAAACTTGTCAATTGGAAATATTAAAAATAATGCTTAAATTTCCATTAATGTCTAGTCAAATATCGCTTGTGATGTTCGTCCCACCACGCAGTCTCTATGACCATTACTTCCGGTCTACGATAGTGTTTGCGCAGTAAGTGCAGTATAATTCAAAGAACCGGCAGAACTTGTAAACTTTCGCCAATTCGGTAAATTGTATATGTTTAAACACAGTTTTTTATTCGTTCTTTTTCTCGCAAAATCAGTGTATACATCATACACAGCTTGTATTACGTAATTCTGCGCACAATTGGCATTAAACTCCTTTATTGTAACCGTCTTATTAAAATTATAGCAGGGGTATTATTTTGAGAGAGACCAACGAACGTGAGGTATTATTTTGCGAGAGACCCACACAGAATGTGACGTATTAATCAAATAAAACAAAAATGTTCTCGGCATGATCGGAAGTTGGACTTTATTTTACTCAATTCATATCCCTGTAAAGTGTTAATTGGAGTAAGCGATTATTTATTACTTAGTAAACGCCCGACAAACCTCTATATATATGTTTTACATATGTAAACAAGGCATAATCAAGTGTTTGTTGAAGTGGGTGGGTATTGATGGGTGAGAATTTAATAATGTCAGACAAATGGGCGTAACAAACCAATTGACGATAACTATACACTTACGGAAACCAGCCACTATGGTATATTTAGCCCATGTTTCGAATGTTATTCTCTCAGCGTTAATTAACTTGAAAACGCTGGAAGAATACTGTTATGAAACATCATTGAAAAACAGAGATGACGTCCTAAATAGTGTGATATGTATTGGTATTGTGGGAAGGTGGGGGGGGGGGTATAATTTGTTTATAAACTGTTTTACATAATAAGACACGCTGTATTTGTAGCTTTTTTACTTTTGTTTATAATGCATAATGTATCCTTTTTATTAATATTTTTGAAATTGATATAATATTGTGGGCTATTCGCGTATAATATAAATTTATTGATAACAGTGTCATGCAAATTTTTGAAATTGATATAATATTGTGGGCTATTCGCGTATAATATCAATTTATTGATAACAGTGTCATGCAAATTGTGGGATACTCGTGTAATATCAATTGTGAGATATGTTAGGAATATGATTCGGCCTGAAAAAAAAAGGATCCGGTGTTTATGGATACCCTGTCGATTGTTTTTCTTTTGGCCAAAATTCCCCTTTATTTTCAGACTCCTATAACTTGGTTGTTGTGTTGTTGTCAAGAGGGGGTTGGATGGCCGAATGGTTAGCACGTGCGCACTGTATCATAACGTCTGTCATTGAGTCAACTGGCGTGGTTTCTAATCTCCGGTTGTACGTGACAAGGAGCAGGGTCGCCTGTCCAAATTCGTGGGTTTTCTCCGGGTCATCCGGTTTCCTCCCACTGCTAAAGACCCCTACGCGCAAGCGAATTATTGAAATAAAATTAAACCACATGTTAGTCCCGAAATGGCCTAGTTTGTGTCGAGTGGACGTTAAACCCCATCTCTCTCTCTCTCTCTCTCTCTCTCTCTCTGTTGCCAAGGGACATTAAGCTAAAATGATAAGAAATAGATAATGATTATGTTACCGTATTTAAAAGAGAGAGAGAGAGAGAGGAGGAGGGGCGGCGGCGTAGAGAGAGTACATTCTCATTGTATTAATTCGCTTACGCGCATGGTTCTTTAGCTGGGAGAGAGAAATTGGTTTAACACCCACTCGACACAAACTACGTCATTTTGGGACCAACATATGGTTTATTTTTATAAATCGATTGCGCATTGAGAAGAAAAAATGGGGCCAGAGAAAATCTACGAGGTTGGATGACATAATGAAGGCTATAAATAGAATGCCAATCTGATTATTTTACAGATCTATATTTCGTTTCGTTTTTGTTTATATTTTCGTAGGCCTGTGAAGACAAGTAAAACGAAATTTTGAACTATAAAAATTGAAACGAAATAGTATCTGTGTTTTAATCAGGTTGATAGAATGTAGATTATTTTAAACATACATTATGACGTCACATTAATAATGACGTCATTGTATTAATCATATTAAACATACATTATGTAAGAGCTAAATCTGTCTATTGCAGGTCTTTCTTTAGGCCTAAAATGTTTTCTAAATTATTAATTAGACATTAATTAACTGATCCAGGCCATAATCAACTCTCGATGGCTTCGGAGTTCTCCGATTTTAAATAGATTAGAACTGTTCAGCCATATTTTGATTTAAGCTAAAAATGGAGGAGGGAGACTTAGCTGTGAACAACCAGTGTGGTGGTTGAAATTATTGCACACGTCTTGTCAAACCTTCAAAGGCTAATATCTTCGCTCACAATAGGGCAATTTGAATGGAATTTTCAAATTATTCATTTTACATTATCTATTTTCGAACTATTATAGCAAGAATGGCTAGCTCTTTATCGAAATCTTACATAATGTATCTTTAAGTTAGTTCTATGCAATCTTACCTCTCAAACCCCATGAAAAAATAATAAAATAAAATTCCAAACGACGAGTATTTTTTTTCTTGGCCTTATGTTGAAAGTTCGTATATAAAGAATAATTGTTAATTTCTATTGATCTATTTTTAGTATTATATGTAGAAACAAGTCATGTGATATGTATTAAAAGTTAAAACTCTGTCGTATTCTTGTTCATGTTTGTTCTAACGACAATGTCGGGGTGGGGGTGTCTTAATTTAATGGTGTGGCACGTGCGCCTTAGATCATAAGGTCTGGTATAAAGTCATGTGGCGTGGTTTCAATTCGCAGCTTGTCCGTGAAAAGGAGTCCATACTAGTAGATTTTCTTCGGGTCCCCGGTAGTCGATTGGGTAGATGGGGCCCTGCCCTGACCCCTAGTCTACCAGGACTCGGGTTCGAATTTCGGATTGAACAGAAATAGCAGATCTCGTTAAAATTAATCTGGTGTGCCACCTGTGGGACTGACAAGTGAAGTGTCTAGTTGTTCGGGTGGGACATTAAATCGAGGTTCATCTTTGTACACATTGGTGGGAACGTAAAAGAACCCTGATCAGGAGGAAGGTGAGAGAGAGAGAGAGAGAGAGAGAGAGAAATGGGTTTAACGTCCACTCGACACAGACTAGGTCATTTCGGGACTAACATATTCAATTTTATTTCAATAATTCGCTTGCGCGTAGGGGTCTTTAGCAGTGGGAGGAAACCGGCGGACCCGGAGAAAAACCACGAGTCTGGTCAGGAGGAAGGTAAATAGAAGAACGAAGTGATGTGTTGACAAGGGCTTAAACCCTATTCCATTTCAATTCCACTAAACTTGTGAATAATCATAATCGAACAACGAGGTCCCGGTACCTCATCGGGATTTTCCGACGTGGTTTCCCCCTTGTCAGTGGTGCAGGACGGAAGGCCTGACAAGGACAGCTGTCTAGTCATTCGGATGGAACGAAAAACCGAGACCCCGTGTGCACATTGGCATGCACGTAAAAGATCCCTTGGCAGTTTGAATTCGATATAAGAGAAGACCATAGTGAAGCTGCCCGGGCAAAATTTTCCCCATGGTACACTGTATGGCGTATGCCCGTCTTCATTAGCTCAGTCGGAACAGAACAGTAGGACGTTAAACCCCATTTCATTTCATTCCATTTTAAACCTAGGTACAAGGAGAACGGTCCGTCCTACTAGGGACCGACCAGGGCGTTTTTTACTCACTAGCGTCAAAAAGTGACCGACAAGGACAGCTATGTTGTACATCATATCCAAATTTTACAAAAAATAGAAGTCGAAAATAATTTTGAGTTTCAGAGAGTCAGCCGGGGAGGAGCGCAGAGGGAATATACTTGGAATAGGTCTTCAAAGTAAATTTTTCTGCTCACAACAAAACAAAAAGCATTTGCCCCACCGCTTCTTTATTATTATTTCAGAGGCAAAGATACTTTGACGCTCCATTGGCAATTGTAATTTCGGTCTGTTTAGATAAATTTTGTTAAATAGGTATTATGCGAGAGTTAAAGAAAGGGGTGACCATTCTTGATATAATAGTTCAAAATAAGATAATGTAATACAAATAGGCTTCTGTCTAAATTTCAGTCAAATTATTTTATTCTTTAGCCAACTTATGAATGTACGGTGGCCTTTTAGTGCCATTTATACCTTTTTCGTGTAATTTACCTCATATGAGAAACCGCAGTGAAAACTATGATAAGTAAAAAAAAACATTTTCTCCGCGGTGTAAACCTTTTCTCCGCGTTGTAAACCTTTCCTCCGCGGTGTAAACCTTTTCTCCGTGGTGTAAACTTTTCCCGCGGTGTAAACCTTTCTCAGCGGTCTAAACCTTTCTCTGTGGTGTAACCCTTTTCTCCGCGGTGTCAAAACTTCCTCCGCGGTGTCAAAATTTCCTCCGCAGTGGAAACCTTTTCTCCGCGTTGTAAACCTTTCCTCCGCGGTGTAAACCTTTTCTCCGCGGTGTAAACCTTTCCTCCTTGTCACGTACAAGCGGGGAATTGAACAATGAAGACTGACAATTTAATGGAATTTACTATTTATACCGAATGAATGTTATAAATGAAATGAAATTGGTTTTAACGTCCTACTGTTCTGCTCCGAACTGGGCTAATGAAGACGGGCATACGCCATACAGTGTGCTATAAGGTAAATTTTGCCCGGACAGCGGCACCAAGGCCTACTCTTATATCGAATTCCAACTATCAAGGGATCTTTTACGTGCACGCCAATGTGGACACGGAAGCTCGATTTTTCGTCCCATCCGAACGACTAAGCAGCTGTCCTTGTCAGGCCCTCCGTCCTGCATCACTGACAAGGGGGAACCACGCTCATTTGCATGAGCAGGCGTATAAAGACAGACGTAACTAGTGTTAAAGTCAATAGATTACTCGTCCGGTACAAACCATGACCTCATCCCCGTACATTTTTACCATTTTGACATATTTCACGACTCCCCACACGACTGAGTTTAAACCAATAAAGCCGTGAAGCAGTAAACATGGCGGGGAAGTGAATACTAAACTGTTGATTTACTGTCCAAGTTGAATTATTCACAACTGTAGAGAACGTGCGGTGAATTAACACCATACATTGAAATTAAACATCGGGTGGTTTTTTTATCAACAATGATTTGGCATTATAAATAGATTTTTAAAAAAAAACAACAAAAAACAACATTATTTTATTTAGAAATTAAAAGGGCTTGAGGAACAGACAGCCTACATGGCTTCTCTACCAAATACAAGAATAAATATGGATATAGGTGAATAAGCAACAATATAATGAATACATCATCAACAACTTGTATATACATATG